TGCCTTTCTTTCTTTCACTCTTTTTTTTCTTTGCTTTTTTCTTTTTTGCCTTTCTTTCTTTCTTCCTCACATTCTTTTGCTCTTTCTTCCTCCCTTTCTTTTGCCCTTTCTTCCTCCCTTTTTTGCATTCTTTTCTTCCTCCTTTTCTTATGCTCTTTCTTTTTTTCTTGTTTTCTTTTGCTCTTCTTTTCTTCCTCTCTTGTTTTTTGCTTTATTTGCCTTTCTTCCTTCCTTTCTTTTTGCTTTCTTTCCTTTGCCCCTTTTTTTAGCACTTTCTTTTGCTTTTTTCTTTCATGACTTTTTTAGCACTTTCTTTTGCTCTTTCTCTTTTTTAGTCTTTCAGTCTTTATTTAGCTCTTCCTTTCTCTCTTTGTTCTGCTGTTTCACTCTTTCTTTCTCTTTCTTTCTTTCTGAAGTGAGCATTTGCGGTAAAGGCCCTGTTTCCTCTCTGCATTGAAGTGCGTGCCGTGTCTCTGTCTGTATTTGAAGGACGAATTCAGCCACGTCTGCGATCGGAATGTGTTCAGATCTCGCGCTCCTGATCCTGAAGTAGTCCAGCGCGCATTACGATCAGATCTTGCTGGGCTGTTTACAGTCCAACATCACGTGAGCTCCACCCTGAATTTTCAGTAACGTTCCCACCTCACTGATTAATACAAGTTGATTTTAGCTGTTTGCTCATGTAGTCAAACGCAGCCTTACGAACAAAGTTGAAGAGCTATTTGCCGCCTGTGGAGGACGGGTCACGATTCTCTCACCGATATTAACTGATTTTAATCCAGAATGTTCTTTCGTTTGTGCTCCAGTCGGCTGTTGAGCTCTGTGTACAGAGCTGAGCGTTTCCTCCTCTGTAGTGTAAATGTCTGGAACGCTCCGCAGCGAGATTACAAATTACGAAGTATTGAACACAGCACAGCCTGTGAGATCCGATCAATATCGGATGCAGAAGCTAAAGGGCAGATGTAAACATGCTGTGTCTTGGTCACCACAGTCACTCTGATATGATAATAATGCCAGTTATAAACAGGCCAAACTCAGAGTGAATAAGTACAGTAGTAACACTGAACCTGTTTTATCCTATAGATGTAGAGAAAACTGCTCCCACAGCTCCTCGCCGCGCGGCTGTAGGCCGGATTAGGATTAGCGCTGTCAGGGAGGCTGTTTTAACGAGCCCTAATTGATCTGTAAGCACAGTCAGAGACAGATTAAATAAACCCGTCTTAAAGCAGGAAATCCGCAGGCTGTGGGGCGTCAAGGAGAAGAGGTGATGGGTCGGGCTGTACCTATCGATTATTTGATTGATCTACTTGCGCATGCCTGTAGCTGTTTTCATTTATTATGACTGACGGCTGGGTTCTCTCTGTGCTCGGGGTGATTTGGGGTTTATAGTCATATTTAAAGTTGAATTTAGCTTTAATTTTTTTATTAGACCGCAGGGCAGAGCTGCCAGAAGGTACTGCGCTCAGTTCTTGTGAAAGAGTGTGAAGACATTTCAAATATTAAGAATTCCTCAGTGATTCTAAAGATGTGATTCAATGATCATTAAACACAGTCAGATTGAAAATAAATTCCAACTCTATTAGCGATGAAACAGTTACCAGTTTCATGGAGAACCACAGTAAAACTCCAGACTGGTTAAAATTTCATTTATTGATAAAACTGTGGTCGATTTCGGTGCTTTAAACACCTTTACTTTGAATTCTGTCCACCCTAAACTAAAGTTACTTAAATGAAAGTTACTTAAAAATGATCATTCTTCAAGGACCATGAACACCCAAAAAAACTTTAGCATGATTAAATGGTTCTTTGCTTCGTGAAACGGTTCTTCAGATTGGAGAATGTGTTGTAGACAGTTCTATATAGGACCTTTTTGGAAAGGGTTCGATATAGCACCAAAAAGGGTTCTTCTGTTTTTTCAAGCTTTACATCATAACAATAGACGAACCCTTTTTGGTGGCATATAAAACCATATACAACACATTCTGCATAGATCTGAAGAACCATTTCACCATGTGAGAACCATTTAATCATGCAGAGGGCCCTTTGAGTGTTAATGGTGCAATATAAAACTTTTATCTTTACTAAAGAACCCTTGAAGAACCATCATCTTTAAGAGCGTACCGTAACTCATATTTATAGGGAACTATGTGCATAAAACTCCAGGTAGGTCATTCTGCTTAAATCATCTTAATCAAAAAAGCCTACCAGCATTAAAACTATGCAGCTGAGGTCAGTTTCTTGCCTCATGCCTGGTTAATATTAGAAACTTTGTGAAAACTGCAAAGTGGGTTTTAAAAAAATTTCTTCCTAAGAACGGTTGGTGAATGAGGCCCGATGCGCTTGACCATAAGCGCTACAGGAACCTAATTAGACCCACTGCGTAGTCAAATTATACAGTTTAATCCCTTAAATTCTCAGACTTGTTGCATCCCAAGGCTTGTTTTTCTGTATCTACATAGAAAGCAATGTAAACTGGCTTATTAGAGGAGTTAGCTGAGTGAGGACTGGAAGGTGTTTAAGGGGTTAAAGGAGCCGAATTACCCTTTAAACTACCCGAGAAACTCCCTCAGTCTGCGCCTGGGAAGGAAGCCACGGGTTTGAGAACAGCCTCCAGCCTCTCCACTCGTAAAATACAAACAAAAAACACTCCAGCGCTGGTATTTAGGGGGAGACGGGGGGAGGAGGGGCCGACAGTCTGTTCGCTGTTGGTATTAAGTGGCTGTGTGGAAGCACATGAAAATCTGTCTGTCCTTGGAAGACGTAGAGCTGTGATGAATAATCAGCGAAGTAACTTATGGGGAGGTTAAAAGTTCAAGTTCAAGAGGTTTTATTGTCATTTCAGCTCTATATACAAGTACACAGTGTAACGAAACAACATTCCTCCACGACCAACACAATACAGCATACGCAGTGCAGACAGTACGGCGCAATAAATACCAAAGACTTACCATAAATACAGAACAGACCACAGGCAGTACACGGTACTGAGAGTATGCAGAGCTGTGCAAAGCAGGATGTGACATACTATGACATATTAGCAGATAGCCTAGCATTTATGAGCATAGCAATCACTGAGGCAGCAGCCAGAACAGCAGCAACAGAATTCAGTATTTGGTTGATACGGTACTGTAGCAGCCGATATTGTTAAAGAAATAAAATGTGCCAAAATCCAAGCAGTCAGATATATTACACATTACAGAACAGATAGTTCCGGTCCTAAAATCTGATTGGCTGAGCCGCGTTCTTAGCCATTGTAAAATCTATGATATACCACAGCAATGACCACCTCACAACCACTGAACTCTGTATCACTGCGCCACGGCACGAAAACAACCTTCTGCCGTTAATGGATTAATATTTGACCCTAATACTGATTGCATGGAGCACCGAGTGCACTGATGAAGTAAGAACTCGTTTTTTGTTTAAACTGAGAGGCTGACAGCTTCTGTTCTTATCTAGAACTGGGCTGGTCAGCTGGCTAACAGGCTAAAAGAGCCAACAGTGTAAACAGCTCCATCATTAATATCACAGGCCTGAATTAAAGCACTTACAGTATGATTACCTGTAAAACTGCAGAATAAAAGTCTAAAGAATGTCACTCGAATATCTTACACGCTTCAGATGTTCGTGTTTCAGTCGCGTCAAACCCAGACTGAATCCCAAACGGCTCACTACTCCCTAAATAGTGTGCTGTGTAACATTAAGTCAGATAGTGACTGCTTGTCGAGTATGAATGTGTCTGAATCCCAAATGACTGTTTCTTAGCTGTAGTTTGCTCTGTTGGGCTGCAGGATCCAGTATTTAAACTCCTGTGTAGTGCACTATGTAGGGAGCAGGGAGCCGTTTGAGATTCAGCCCCAGCGTGAGAAGAGGGCGCAGCTGGATTGGTGCTAAATAAGACTCGCTGTGGTGATTTGGTGACCAAAAATACTTATAAAGTGAAGTTTCTGCATTGAACAGTGCTGTGATATCATATGTTCACTGTTACACAAAAAAGTTTTAAAAATCGTGAAATGTCTGCAGTTTAGTGATCAGTGACCGAACGTTCTTCCACTCGTTCAGCGGTCAGTGGCTGCTTAGCAGCGATACTGCACTCTAAAGGAACTACATTAACAACTACACTTTATTTACTATCCATATAAACTCAGAAGACTCGTGTAGGTTCACTGGTGGTTTTGGAATGTTGATGATGGAAAATAGTGGAAAATCTGAAATAATCAGTTTTCTGTGGGGACTATTTTGCCTCACAGTGCCCTTTGAATGATTGAAGGATTCTTCAATGAAGTAGTTCATCAGATTGATGGAGAATGTGCTGTAGATGGTTCTGTATGGAACCTTTTTGAAAATGGTTCGATATAGCACCCAAAAGGGTTCCTCTATGTCAAAGCTAGTAACAATAAAAGAACCATTTTTGGTGCTATAAAGATCTATAGCACATTCATGCACATTTTCAATCAGTCTGAAGAATCCTTTCATGATGCAAAGAACCTTCAATCATGCAAAGGGTTGTTTAAGTGTTCATGGTTCTATCTAGAACCACTTTATTAAAGATATAATGATCATTTTGACAAGATTTTCATCCTAAAACATATTTTTAAACTCCATTCATGGTGGAGGGATACATGCAGGGCGCTGTGAGGCAAAATAGTCCCCCAAAGAAAACTGATTATTTCAGATTTTCCACTATTTTCCATCATCAACATTCATATAATCTCAGAAGACTCGTGTAGGTTCACTGGTGGTTCTGGATAGTAAATAAAATGTCTATATTTGTGTTGTAGTCATGGCGACGCCTGGTTCCTATCACCACCACTGGAGACTAAAGACATCTAAGTTTCAGAGAGTCTGTAAGTTTCTAAAGAACCCTTGAAGAACCCTCTTTAAAAAAGAGTGTAGTTGTTAATTGCAGCCCTGGAGGGAAATGACAAAACGGGTCAGACATGTCAAGCGGGAGGTGATCACTAACCCCTCCTTTCTTTTTCTCCTCTTTTGTCTTTCAGATGGTGAGCTGTGATTGGCTGAGCTTCCAGCCAGGGCTTCCCCAGACTGTGTTACAATGAGATGATGACCGTGAATGTTGTACATCCTCCCGAGCACATACACACACATCACGCCTCCCTGCCGCGCACAAAGCAGGAAGTAACATGAACTGCCAGCGTCGGCAGAAGCAAGAAGCGAATGTGTCCAACTCTGGTGAAGGTTTGAACCTGGAGGCCACTGACTGACTGAGATCTGAACGAGAAAACTGAAGACAAACACAAACCACAGCTTCCCTTTTAAGGCGTCCTGCTTATCCTCAGCCTTTTTATCAGTTAAAACCCATTTTAAGTGCCTTTCGCTTTTTTCCCCTTGTGTTTACGTTCAGTATCTACCCTCATTTCTCCACTATTTCTTCTCCAACTGTGCCAGTTTTAAGTTTACATTTCAAACTATATCACACCCTTTTTGTTGTCGGACCTCATCTGTAACTGCAGAATGTTCTAGATAGTCTTATCATCAGATTTCGTGTCCAACATGTGCATGCCTTCCTGTTGGAGAAACTCTTCAGCCTGCCATCATCATCAGGGATGAAACCTCCGTAGACTAAAAACACAGTAAAATTTGTGTTTTTTTTTATTTAGATTTTTTATTTTCACTCCATCGTATTCTCACTCCCGCCCTCGCCATGCTCTCCTTTCACTCCAAATGGCGATATTTGGTTATGCTGCTGGGCGTCCAGCTCGTGGTCATGGCTCTCCTATCCAGGGATGGCTACCACAAGAGGGTGACCTACTTTTTCCGGATTTTCCGAAAAATGGAGATTTCCGGGTCGGCTGCTGGTCACGGGCGGAATCACACGGGTGTGGACGTCTATGCTAACCTGTCCTACCTGGTCAACGTCCACAGCAAGGACGACATACCCTACTGCCCAAAAAAATCGCCACTAATAGGTGAGTTAGTCCCACCGCATAACATCCGAACACCGTCATGGGTGATCACACTGCATGGACTGTTTATTTCATCCAAACTTTGCTGGATTTTAAATATAACACTCAATTTTAGCATCATACTAACATTTGTAACATTCAACAAATAAAACATTCAAGTTTTATCTGGCATGTTTAAACATATTTACGCAGTTCTTGTCTTCCAGTCAAGTGAAATGGCAGACAATTCTGCTTTCTTAAAGCATTAATTTCTAGAAATTGCCTTATTATTTGCTGAAAGATGTAGCTTGGCATGTATGGAGTTTCTAGCAAGTGTTTATCTAGATTCAACTAAAGTTGTCTTTGCTCTAGAATTGATAATATTCTGATGTCACAATCGTGCTGCCACCATTTTGGTCGGCAACTTCAAGTTGACTCAGCTGTTAGTAATGAGATAAAGCCATAACTGATCCAACAAATGCAGTAAAACACGTTTTTAAACACTTAAATCTTTTTTAAAGCATATTAACTGATCTATTTGAGGGTGTTGACTTGATTTTATTTGATGTGTTGCTGTAGTGATAACAAATGAAAGCTATAATCTAAACAGCTGAGATTCTGTTATTATTTTCACGTCCCAAACCGCATACTAGCTCAGTAAATAGTGTGTAAAAATAGTGCATATCTCATAAGTGCACTCATTAGTAGGTGAAGTACAGAAGTGTGTGGTTTGGGACGCAGCGTTAGATCAGACAGTGAGACGCGTTCAACGGCTGCTCATTAAACATTGATGCATCGATCCAGCATCTAGCTATATGTTACAGATATTACATTAGTGCTGAGAGTTCAAGTATCAGACACGATATGTCTGATTACCCTTCATAAGTTGGAGTTCTCCAACTTTAGCTGTGAAAGGTAATTAGAATCTAAAATAGAGACCGTTTTTTTCAGTCCCACTCCCTTTTGTATTAATTATTGTATTAATTATATGTTATATTTCTTGAATATAACACTGGTAATGTAAGAGTGCAGTATTCCGTACACTTTAGTATTCCGTGCACTTTAATATTCCGTGCACTTTAATATTCCCTGCACTTCAGTATTCCCTGCACTTTAGTATTCCCTGCACTTCAGTATTCCATGCACCATCCCGCTCCCCCATGCGACACGGAAATGGCAGATGGAGAAACACAGGGATGCAAATGGTGAATGGGGTGGGGAAACTTTCACGGCCATTTAAAATGATTTTAGCACATCTTACATCATAATTAACATTCCAACGAATATTAAACAACTGATTATCACCATGAATGTATGTTTGTTACTGAGTTGTTAATCTAAGTCTACACTGTCAGCTAAGGTACATTGGTGGCTTCACACCTCAGCCTCACTTTACTAGACTTATTTGTTCCACGCATTGTTTATATTAATTCATTTTCAAAAAACGTATAGTCAATGGCCATTTTAATGCAGTTAGCTTTCGTAAAACTTAAAATACAGAAAAAAAAAAAACTAGAAAACTGCTCCTTCTGTGGAAGCTGGTGTACGGAATACTGACGGCACAAACCGCTGACACCGATGACATTTTATTGGCCCAAATATGATCAGTCAAAATGCTTTTTGGTTGCTAGGCAGATTTTGCAGAGTCCAGCTAATCATAACATCCTATATGACTTCGGGAATTACCGCAATAACTACTGAAACACGGAACCTGCCGAAGTACCGTACGGAATACCGCACTCTTACGTTAGACGCCTTTCCTGCAGCATATCTTTGCCATAAAAATGACTGTAATCATCCGTAACCCTGCTGATGTGTTTAACCTCTGTAAACCAGACAGGTCAACAGAGAGAGGTCATTCATTCCATCTGACCAGTAGTTTATCAGCCCTGTTATCAGAGAAAGCAGTGATAAAGGAAGTGTGCTTTCTTGCTTATGACTTCCTATTTTTGTGTTTTAATATCGGACATGCTGACTTCTCAGTAATTGATGATTGTCTTTAAGAGCTGTTTGAGTTCCCTTAAAGCTCATTAGCAGCCACAGAGTGGAAGAGGAAGTGCTGTTAGACACCATGTGAAGCGGAGTACAGTCAGTTTTACTGTTTTGAAAGGGCAACAAAGTACAGTACAGTAAAATACATCAGTGTTCAGGAAGCAGTTTCATTTATTATTAATAGAAATCACAGTAAACAGTACTTCTGCCAGCTAGTATGGTTTATAAAAGGGGAATTCCACCAATGTCTGCAAAATTTCTGCACAATTAAGTGGTTAAGATGTAGACATTGAATTGTTCATAGTGGTGGTGACAGGAACAGGGGTTTACAAATAGTCATTTTATTCATTTATTTGTATTTTTGGGGACTATTTTTGCCTCACAGCACCCTGTGTGTACCCCGTACCCCACCACCGTGAATGTTTTTTAAAAAGTGTGCATCAGGCCTAAATCTGCGCAAAACTATCATAAAACAGTGTCTCAGTCATCAGGCAGTGAATTCATAACCATTTCATGTAGGAACTTTCTGTGAGGGAGCTTTTAGAGGTGGACGTCTGGTTCCTATCACCACCACTGTGAACAGTTCTGACTCAGTACGTTTATCTAGAACAGAGCGTTTCACACCAAACCACTCTGAATGACTTTGATTAACATCTAGTTACAAGTTTGTTGTTTTTGTGAGGTCACAGAAACCAATGCATTAATGCATATCTGCCTATTTGGCCTACAGCAGTTTAGCCTGGAGTGCTTTCTGAATGAGGCAAAGCACAAGACAGCCAGTCAGACTACAGCTCATCTACATATACCAGACTTAAAGGGACAGCAAAGCTCCCTGTTTAATTGTAAGAGATAAAAATATCTTGATTGTACGTAGAACCGCACAAAGGTCTTTATATATATATATATATATATATATATATATATATATATATATATATATATATATATATATATATATATTTAAAAATATATATATATATATATATTTTAAAAATATATATTTAAAAAATTATATATATGTGTATGTATATATAATATCTTGCTGTTGTCGGAACAAAACCTTGTGTCTCTTTTGCCATTTTTCAGTTTTTGGCATAATTTATGGCAAAATTGTTGTTGCCCTTTACATTATGTGTAAATGTCATGATGATTGGATGAAAGGAAAAGGTCAAAAGTGACTTTAGCTGGGTGGGGGAATCTGGTTCCACTGACTTACATAAAAAGTATGTTTTTTTCCTTCTCCTGTAAAGTTACTATTTTGGAGATACAAGGTTTTGTTCCAACAATAGCTATATATATATATATATATATATATATATATATATATATATATATATATTATATATATATACACTGCTCAAAAAAATAAAGGGAACACTCAAATAACACATCCTAGATCTGAATGAATGAAATATTCTCATTGAATACTTTGTTCTGTACAAAATCACACAAAAATCATCAATGGAAATCAAATTTATTAACCAATGGAGGCCTGGATTTGGAGTCACACACAAAATTAAAGTGGAAAAACACACTACAGGCTGATCCAACTTTGATGTAATGTCCTTAAAACAAGTCAAAATGAGGCTCAGTATTGTGTGTGGCCTCCACGTGCCTGTATGACCTCCCTACAATGCCTGGGCATGCTCCTGATGAGGTGGCGGATGGTCTCCTGAGGGATCTCCTCCCAGACCTGGACTAAAGCATCCGCCAACTCCTGGACAGTCTGTGGTGCAACGTGACGTTGGTGGATGGAGCGAGACATGATGTCCCAGATGTGCTCAATCGGATTCAGGTCTGGGGAACGGGCGGGCCAGTCCATAGCTTCAATGCCTTCATCTTGCAGGAACTGCTGACACACTCCAGCCACATGAGGTCTAGCATTGTCCTGCATTAGGAGGAACCCAGGGCCAACCGCACCAGCATATGGTCTCACAAGGGGTCTGAGGATCTCATCTCGGTACCTAATGGCAGTCAGGCTACCTCTGGCGAGCACATGGAGGGCTGTGTGGCCCTCCAAAGAAATGCCACCCCACACCATTACTGACCCACTGCCAAACCGGTCATGCTGAAGGATGTTGCAGGCAGCAGATCGCTCTCCACGGCGTCTCCAGACTCTGTCACATCTGTCACATGTGCTCAGTGTGAACCTGCTTTCCTCTGTGAAGAGCACAGGGCGCCAGTGGCGAATTTGCCAATCCTGGTGTTCTCTGGCAAATGCCAAGCATCCTGCACGGTGTTGGGCTGTGAGCACAACCCCCATCTGTGGACGTCGGGCCCTCATACCATCCTCATGGAGTCAGTTTCTAACCGTTTGTGCAGACACATGCACATTTGTGGCCTGCTGGAGATCATTTTGCAGGGCTCTGGCAGTGCTCCTCCTGTTCCTCCTTGCACAAAGGCGAAGGTAGCGGTCCTGCTGCTGGGTTGTTGCCCTCCTACGGCCTCCTCCACGTCTCCTGGTGTACTGGCCTGTCTCCTGGTAGCGCCTCCAGGCTCTGGACACTACGCTGACAGACACAGCAAACCTTCTTGCCACAGTTTGCATTGATGTGCCATCCTGGATGAGCTGCACTACCTGAGCCAATTGTGTGGGTTGTAGAGTGCGTCTCATGCTACCACGAGTGTGAAAGCACCACCAACATTCAAAAGTGACCAAAACATCAACCAGAAAGCATAGGTACTGAGAAGTGGTCTGTGGTCCCCACCTGCAGAACCACTCCTTTATTGAGTGTGTCTTGCTAATCGCCAATGATTTCCACCTGTTGTCTATTCCATTTGCACAACAGCATGTGAAATTGATTGTCAATCAGTGTTGCTTCCTAAGTGGACAGTTTGATTTCACAGAAGTTTGATTTACTTGGAGTTATATTGTGTTGTTTAAGTGTTCCCTTTATTGTTTTGAGCAGTGTATATATATGTGTATGTATATATATATATACACATATATATATATATATATATATATATATATATATATATATATATAGCCTAAACAATGGATTAAAAAAAGGCTTCTGCCTGGTGAGGTTTTGTGGGTAAACCTGCAGTCTTTTACAGAAAGAATCAGTGTTGTTCCACTCAGCACTGATTGCTTCACATGGCTGAAAAACACTGCCGAGCTAGTTTGTGTTTACTGTGAGGCAGGAAGTTAAAGATTAAGTTGGTTGAAAGTTGCCTGTCAGGCCTGGTGGCCTAGTAAAGGTGCCATTCCTCCAAGACAAATAGAGAGATGAGTGTTCTGGGCATGTGCTGAATATGGCTGAACAATTAGGGGGAAATCGAACTGCGATTTTTCTGACTAATATTGCGACTGTGAATTAAATTTAGATTGTTTTCCATAAATTGAGGTTCAGACCTATTTCTTTCCACCAAGAAGACCAGAATATCCACTTTTTCTGGCTTGAGGCTCGACCCCTAAACGTAGGGCTCCAGAAACCAAGTTGTGGTTTTGATGTCACAAAAAGTGGAGGTTTTGTTCGCCTCTGATTGGTTTATCTCCACAGGCAGTATATAACTCACTGTTATTAGGTTAAATTTGCCCTTTTAAAACTTCTTAGATGAAATTTTTGATAATGTAGGTTATAATTCAAAACATTGCAGCTCTTATAATAAAAAATAGCTTTATCTGCTGTATAAAAATAATCTCCCTCCTCATTTCTCACAGGTGGACCAATCCACGTTAGCTTCCGCTCTGGACTCACGCTTGCACAGATCGAGCGGAAGAATCCACTGGTGGTCCGCGGGGGGCGCTACAGGCCGCCGGACTGCGATGCACGGCACCGCACTGCTATAATCATCCCCCACAGGAGCAGAGAACACCACCTAAAGTTCCTCCTCTACTACCTGCACCCGTTTCTACAGCGGCAGCAGCTGAACTACGGCATCTACATCATACATCAGGTAAACACACACTCACTCACACACACTCACTCACACACACACACACACACACACACACACTCTCACACACACACACACACACACACACACACACACACACACTCTCACACTCACACAGACACACACACACACACACACTCACACAGACACACACTCACACACAAACACTCTCACACACACACACACACACTCTCTCACACACACACACACACACACACACACATTGAGTCAGGAACCCTCGAGTTTAGTTTCAGCTTCATTAAGCCACTAGTAACTCAATTTATGGAGGCAGGTAACACATTTTCTCCGTTAATCCTGGTTTAGACACTCAGACACTTAATTCTAAAGATTAAAAGGGCCGTATAGTAGAAAACTGAATTTTCCTCACTTTTTAAATAAGAGTTTGATGTTATATGCAAACATTGCTAGTGTTAAAACATGCTGTTCGCTCTCCAGTCCAATTTGAATTTACCGTTTGTTTTGTGCCCTATTATTTTAGCTTTTCCACTGTTTTACCCTCAACATTCCATATAAACTTGGTTCACTGGTGGTTTTGGATAGTAAATGAAATGTCTATATTTGTGTTCTTATCCAGATACTTATACAGAAACATCCTAACTAGACTAAACCTCCTAAATCCTGTCCTAACTTTAGGATGAACCCCAAAAGGGTCCTCACTTCTGTTTAAGGTCCGTTTCTATGGTTTTTAGGCAGCTGTGTCAGCAGCATAGTTCACTACCAGCATAATGAGCTCCATTTATTTCTACTGTAAAACGCTGCTTTCACTGTGAGATGATTTTCTTTTCTAACTCTGCGTTTTAAAGATCTCAGACGCTGCAGACTCGATCTCCACCGCCCCTCTGATCACCTTCGTGTGTTAATGTTGATGATGAAATATTACAGTGATGGTGGTGAATAATGAGGAGACGGAGCTGAACGTGTGTCTGTTTATTAGGAGGAGTAACGTTAGCGCGCTCGGCTAAAGCGTTTGGGAAATGGAGACTGAAACTGGGGAGCGGCGATGCTCTGAGAAACAGCAGGGGGCGCTCTCACAATATTCACCACTTACAGTTTATCACACTTTAGTTTTGGTTGACCTTTTTTGCCCAGCAGTAACTGTAGCTGCCAGGCTAACTAGCTTGATTATTTTGATGACGTGTTTACGTTTCAGCTATGCGTCTTTGGTCGGTTGCTAGGTAACAGACATGACAGTTGATTGTCGACTTTGATCGAGAAAGTTAAGATTTCCTAACTTGAGATAAGATGCTGTAAGATAGGATTCTTAAATCGTGACAAGATTTGCGAATAATACGAATTTGTGAAAAATGTTATCTTGACCTGTCAGATCTTAAGACAAAAAGATAGGAAGCCCCAGAACCATTTCACACCAAACCAGTGTGAATCACTCTGCTTACATCTCTCACACTAAATTATTAAAAATTAAAAAAATTAGCAAAAATTAAACAAAAAAGTGGAGTTTCCCTTTAAACTCTTCAGACGTCTGGTTCCTATCACCACCACTGTGAACAATTCTGACTCTAGAATAAAGCGTTTCATATCAAAACACTCTGAATCTTAACCACTTTAATATGCAGAAATGCAGGGAAATTGGTGGAATTTCCCTTGAATGAATATTATAAAGGGAGAAACCAAGTCACCTCAGGCTTTAGTCCTGCTCTTACTCATTTCACTGGAAAATAAAATGGCTTCACTCACTCTGTTCTTTGGTTCTTAGCCTTAGGCTTAAGCTTCACTGCTCACGCTACATTGGAGCTTGCACAGGTTTATCCTCAAGCATGTCAAACAGGGCAGGAGCCACGGGACTTTACTGTTGGAGAGTCTTCACTTTAAGCCTGAAGTATCCAGCTAATTGAGAAATCTCCAAACTTTATCTGAACTAGTCCCCCGCACCGCCTGCAACTCACAGAGGGAAGCACAAACACACTGAAGCCATGTTACCCACAATTACTATCACCTGCCCCCTGCTGGTCACTCTCATACAGTGCATTAAAGGAGTGGATGAGTTTAAGTTTACACTTATCCTTTTATCCTCTTAACACGTATCCTTTATTTCCATCCGCACACGCACAGTACCTTTATCATACTAGTGATACCACGATACTTCGACATTTTCACGATACGATAGGCGTCACGATATTGAATTTTTCTTAGATTAATAGGTTAGGAACAGACAAAACAGAAAATGGTGTGCTGCGTATAAAACCTACTGTAATAGTAATAATAATAGTAGTAATAATAATAATGATAATTCTACAACTACAATGATTTTTATTTAATGTTTCACTGCACTGAATCCAATTAAACAGACCAAATTATTGCCACATTATGAAACATGTAGTTAGTGTTCTTTATGCACTGACGATATCCACAGTATACTCAGAAAAGCATATTGTTTCATAATTTATCATGACAGCAATAAAATATCTTGCCCACCTACTTCATACTGGTTCATATTTACTATATTTAGAAAGTGGACTGACTTAAGTCAGTCTGTAATACAAAAAACAAGCTATACAAAATCTAATTTTTTTAATCTGAATTTATCTTTTAAGGGCCCATATCCTGGATCTTCACTATGATAACTGTGCAGTTTTATGTACCAAAACAGTCATCATTCATTCTCAAATGAACATTTTCCAACCTCTCTTTATCCTACAGAATTAAACAGGCTGTGCATTTAAGACTAATATATGTAAATGAGCTCTGTTCTGATTGGTCGACTTGTAGTGTGCCTGACTCAAAGCTGTCGGGGCCGAAACACTTCCTTTAAGTTTAATATGAAGTGGACGGGGCTGAGCTGCTGTAGTCTGTATAGACAGATGTAAATGTGATGGTTTGTGTGACATCACAAAGCCAGTGAATTCGGATGGGCTGTTTTTGCATCTTAGTTTATGGATTGTATGGAGTGCAATGCGAACTGTATGTTTTGAAACTAAGTTTTACGTACTACATGAAACTCTTATTTCCATAAAACAAGACACTGGGTTCTCTCTAATATGGGCCCTTTAAAGCAACATGAGGTCTTTACCACGGCGCTCTGAGCTGTTGTGGTTGGGACATTTTAACTGCTTTTGAGTAAATATGGCAAAAAGCTGATCTGTAATTAACTTTAGCTATATTTGAATTTAATAATAATTAAGTTTTTTTTAAGATATAATTCACAATACATTCATTATAAGCTGTATGGTAAGGACCTGCAGCAAAAACTGAATAGAAAAAGGTGGCATTTCATTTTCCGTGCATCCTGGCAAGTATAGATTAAGTTTCCCACACTGTTGTGCTCTTTTGCTGGCTTAGGTTTCCATTGAAAGTAGGTTTGTTTGGCTTTGGGGGAAAAAACCTGAGGTCAGTGTCGCTGTAAGGACGTATAAATGTAGGACAGACATATTAATAGAAAAGAATGACATTTATACAACGCAGGCTCAGCTGAAAAGATGGATTTTTGTAATTCGGTAACATCTTTTTGTCCATTTGGAAAATTTGGAAATTGACCTTAACAAAAAAGATTTAAGTATCATAGTCGTACAAATAATGAGCTGCAGAAATGTGCAGGACATAAATAAAACTGGCATTTTTAACTAAAATGTGCATTAACATACTACAACCCCATTTCCAAAAAAGTTGGGACAAAATTCAATGATCATGTAATATATATTTAATTGAAAATAGTTCAAAGACAACTAATCAAATGTTGAAACTGAAATTTGTTGTTTTCTGAAAAATATATGCCCATTTTGAATTTGATGGCAACAACATGTTCCAAAAAAGTTGGGACGGGGGCCTGTTTACCACGGTGTTTCATCAGCTCTTCTTTAACAGCACTCTGTAAGCGTTTGGGAACTGAGGAGACGCTGCTGTAGTTTTGAAAGTGAAAACGTCATCTGGATGGCAGCATATGTTGCCAAAACACGTATATATGGTTCAGCATTAATGGTGCCTTCACAGATGTGCACGTCACCCATGCCATGTGCACTAATGCCCCCCTATACCATCATGAATACTGGCTTTTGAACTGTGCACTGATAACAAGCTGAGTGGTCTTTAGCCCAGAGGACACAGTGTCCATGATTTCCAAAAAGTTCAAATGTTGATTCGTCGGACCACAGGACACTTTTCCACTTCCTCTCAGTCCATTTTAAATGAGCTCAGGCCCAGAGAAGGTGGCAGCGTTTTGATCCTGTTCATTTATGGTTTCTTCTTTGTGTTTTAGAGTTTTAACTTATATATGTGGATGCAGCGATGAACTGTTTTCACAGACAGTGGTTTTCAGAAGTGTTTCTGAGCCCATGCAGTGATTTCCACTACAGAATCATGTCTGTTTTTAATGCAGTGCTGCCTGAGGGCCCAAAGATCACAGCCTGCAAATACTGGTTTTTGGCCTTGTCCCTTACATACAGAGATTTCTCCAGATTCTCTGACTCTTTTAATGATATTCTGTACCGTAGATGATGAAAAGCAGAAGTTCTTTGCTATTTTACGATGAGAAACGTTATTTTTGAATTGTTGCACTATTTGATCATGCAGTCTTTGTGGTGGTGAACCTTCCTCATCTTTACTTCTGAAAGACTCAGCCTCTCTGAAATGCTCTTTATACCCAGTCATATTACTGACCCGTTGTCAATCAACCACCAGGTGTTTTTTTAGCATTACACAACTTTACCAGCCTTTTGTTGCACCATACCAAATTTTTTGAAACATGTTGGCATTAAATTCAAAATGGGCAAATATTTTTCAAAAAACAATACAATTTCACAGTTTCAACATTTGATATGTTGTCTTTGTACTATTTTCAATGAAATATAGGGTTTGAATGATTTGCACATCATTGCGTTTTGTTTTTATTTACTCTTTTACACAGCGTCACAACTTTTTTGGAAATGAGGTTGTACTTTGGCCTTTTGAGAGATGCTGTTGTATAAAATGTGTGCACTAAAGAGAGCAAAACAAGCCCTGAGATTAGTGAGGGGGGTGGATTAATCTGTAACTCTGATATTTCCACCTCATATTAAAAGGGCAGGGATTAGACTGTAATCCCAGAGCGTTTGATCCACAGTCTGAGGGAGCGCGCCGGGGATGTTCCAGAATATCCTGCAGCTTTAGAGCACAATCCGCACAAGCATTTCCAATGAAATAAAATTATCCACTTAATTTTGTTGCATCAACTGTGTATCAGAACTGACCTGAGCTGAGCTCCCCAAAGGCTTTACAGCACAGTACAGTACTGTTATTAATTTTTCAGGAAATATCCCTGAGAAGTTTAGATATAAAATAATCCACTTGCATAAAGAAGGTGAAAGTCAAAAAGAAATAAGTGGAAAAACCGACTAAAAGCTACAGAGAAAATGTGACTCCTAACAACCACCCGGAACACCTGGTGGACCCCAAAACTGCCCCCATCAGATAAACAGCACTTAAAGCTTTCATCTCTGAGAGAGAGGAGAAAATCAAGCTGCTTCAGATCTGAAAACATCCACAGGTGTTTCTGTCCATCCTTCCACTGTGAGAAGATGACTCAGCGCTGTGGGTCTGAAAGGATGTGTAGCTGTCAAGAAGAACCTCACTGAGAAAAGGAGACGGACACATCAAACAAAGAAGCTGAACGATGGACTGACCACCCCAGAGTCCAGACCTCAACACCACTGAATGTGTTTGATTACTTCAGAAAATGATCAACCAGCTTCTAAGACTGAACTTTGGAGGTGTGTCTGCAGATTCTTTGAGGAACTGAAAGTGAGTCTCCTGAAAGGAATGGAAGCTGGAATAAAGGAGAAGAGTTGACACTTGAATTAATTAATATATCGGCTGTAGTGTATAACAGTAATTGTTCTATCCAGGATCTGCCCACAAATGTGTTTCATAGCTACTGTCGTGAGATTGGAGAAACTTTACGGACCGCTGTTAAAATCTCATTCAACCTAATGAGAAACTGTAGAATAGACTTAGTTTATATCACAATACCTACATTTAGAGTCGGTTATTCATTCAGCCTAATGAGAAACTGTAGAACAGACTCAGTTTATATCACAGTACCTACATTTAGAGTCGGTTATTCATTCAGCCTAATGAGAAACTGTAGAACAGACTCAGTTTATATCACAATACCTACATTTAGAGTCAGTTATTCATTCAGCCTAATGAGAAACTGTAGAACAGACTCAGTTTATATCACAATACCTACATTTAGAACGAGGAAAGAAATTGTGATGGAAACTCATTATGAATGCAAATCTAATTTACATGACTGATCAGATGTTTCCGTTTTTGTGTCCTAAGGTATGAAACATGAGCAAAGGTATCAGTATAGAGTTCTTACTTTTTCTACAGAGAACAATGGGGTTTTCTGTAAACGCAGGGCACATGTTGAATGTTTCTATTCAAATTATTAACCCAGAACAAAATAGACTAATTTGTTTTGCAAAAAGAGTTGAAAATGCAACACACTGCTCCAGTACCAACAACAGATACTGATGATGACCCTTTGTATGACCATTTGTGGACACCCAGCTGTTTTAAATGATTTTTAATACAAATTATTTCTTATCTGGTAAATAAAACTGTCAAATCTTTATTTAATAGTAGTGTAACTGTGTTCTGTTTTATTTTACTGTTTAATACGGGCCTCTCAATTCAGCTGACAATGGAAACATATCAACTTTAAGCAGATTTTCAGGCTCTTTAATGTTGCTGTGTTGAATTGTGTTCATCACTACACTCTTACTATTTAGATCAAATCTATTCTTTATACCAAGTGCTGAAAAGTAGACCTGTAGGATTAACATATACAGTCGTACACATAAGTTGAACACCCCAAACAAATAACACATCTTCTACAGGGAGCTCTTAAATATGGCATTTTTCTGCATATTGTAATACGCAATTACTGTTTATTTGCTGAATTTAACACATAAAATATATAATGTGCCATAACTTTTGCACAGGCCATATTTGTTTTATTTTTCACCCCAATATGTTACATTCAGTAAGCAGTAATTGTATAGACTTTAACCTTTGCAGGGATTTGTTTGATTTTTTTTTGTTTGATTATTTTACGCTTACATTTTAAAAACAAGGCAAAGTGTAGCTAAACTTGACAGACTGTGTTGATGCTGAAGAATCCAAACCTCGTCACAAAGCAGGGAGCTGGTCGTATGTCCGAAGAATCAAAGTTTATGCTCCCGAGTGGTGCAACCGTCTAAGCATTGGCCCTATCAGGAGATCATGAGTTCGATCCCCAGTGATGCTACAGCCGTCCGTAGCTCGGAGTCCAAGAGAGCACAACTGGCCTTACTCGTTCTGGGTGGGTAGGATGGCCCCCTCTCCATCAGCCCGATGATAGTCAGTGCAGGCATCTGTTAGCTGATGTAACAGATCTGGCGGTTGGTGCTTTCCCCCGAGAGCGTTCGGCTGTCCGATGACGTTACGTGAGCGTCAGTTTGAAAATATGCAGTGGCGCTTCACAGGTCTCAGAGGAAGCCTGTGCTAGCCTTCGCCCTCCTAGCGCTGGTGGTATCGTGTAACTGGGGGAGTCCTAACTAGCGGGTGGAGTTGAAAACAACCAAAATTAGGGAGAAAATTGGGGAAAAAAAACACAAAAGAAAAAAAAAAAATTGAAGTTTATTTCTTGCGCGAGGTGCCAGAAACCCAGCCAGCCCCTAAAACAATGGACTGATGCAGTTTTATAGCTGGACTGATGCCAAAATCAGGCCCAGCCTGTACATGACAAGTGACCCAGACACTTCAGCAGCATCATATTCTCATTACACAAACTGTGCCATATGCCCTTGTGTAACTTTGGATTTAGCCTTTGTTATGGATACCTTCTCTCCCTACCTAACACGGGCCCTGGCCTCTGGTGGGAGTCAGGGAGTGCTAGCCTGAAAGGGGGATTAAGGAATCTTCACTCTAAGGTTCACCCCTGTGACCTACAACCAGAGTCACCCATTTTATCCCTGAGCTAGTCTCCACCATCAGGTGGTGGTGCCACCTTGGTATGGCTCACATAAATACATTTTGGTTTTCGTTGACATTTTAGAGCAGAGGATGGTAAGCCGGACTTGATATGGGCCTTCTCATTTTGGCCCTGATGGCTGGGTGTTATCATTTGCTGTACTGGGACAATGAAGCAATAGGGTGAGCCCCCCCCCCAGCAGGTACTGTCAGCCTATACATGACAAGTGACAGGTGTGACGGGCATGACCGTGTAGGGATAAACAAAAGTAGGCAGACCAGAATGTCCAAGAACAGTCAGAGTACAGGCAAACACAATACTGAATATACGGACATTTAACACTGCACCAAACACATAACAGAGCTGTACTTTCCTTCAGTTCTAATATGCTAATTTGTTACCTGTATGATCATTAGGTTCATTTGTGTATCTTTGTACTTGCTTGTTTGCATGTTTGTGTGATTTGTTTGACCACATGCCAATTAATTTATTTACGTTTGTGTTTGTCTTTCAAGGCGGGGAACTACACGTTTAACCGCGCTAAGCTGATGAACGTGGGTTTTCGGGAGGCCATGCGGGAGGAGGACTGGGACTGCCTGTTCTTCCACGATGTCGACCTGATCCCCGAGGACGACCGGAACACCTACACCTGCGACCAAACTCCCAAACACGCCGCCATCGCCATGGACAAGTTCGGATACAAGTCAGTGCTAAAACGCTCATGCTAGCTGTCGTCTCTTACCACAGGTTTACCAAATGGGACGCACCAGTATTGAGACTTCTAGGCTGATAACAGTGAAAATGAATACCTTAATGCTATGATTTTACTTTTTTGCTTATTAATGTTACCAGTACAATCCATATATGAAGCGCAGTCAGCACAGTATTTAAACTCTGATGATGTTAGCTGCCTCGTATTCTTTGACTTGTCAAAAGACTAATTAGGGCTGCGTCATAAATCATATGTTTATCGTCATCCTGATAGGAGTTTCCACATTGTCAAGCGCTGAGATGACAGAATGGGTCAAATTACCTCCCAGGTGCCTCACCAGAGTGAGATACATTAGCGAACATAGAGTTAGAAGCCCATCATTTGCCTCCCTGCCCGTGTTATAAAAAAGTTGATGCATTAAGCTTAAACTTGCATGCATAGACGTTTGTACATCCACAGCGTACATACAACTAAACTTGCATCAAAAGTAAGTTGACTGTGTAGTGGATTGACTGAACATGCTGTGGCTGTATATGATGTTATTCTGTGGAAATAATTTAGCTGACATGGAACAAAAAAAAACGCTTGGTGTAAGATACAGTTTACATTCATATGCATGGGTCAAAACTACTCTATCCTGAACAATCAGCCTGTAAAAATACTTACAGGCTGATTGTTTTGTTCTGTGTTGGAAATGTGTGAAGCAGCAGCCTCTACTGTTACAACAAACGTGCATCACCATAAGGAACTTGTCCTACACTATATGTTTTTTTTGGCCCGATTTTAATCCTAATTTGCCCCCTGCAACAAATTTTCACAACCTGAAGCGATTCTCCAGGTCGGGAGCTCAATCGGAAGCAACGGACGGTGCAGATTATCTGTAGTGTGAGAGTAGAAACGAGTGAATCTTTAGCCCTCCAGTTGAACTCTGAAGTGATCAGGGACTCTCAGATATTATCAGACAAGTTTGATATTTACCACTCAAAATGTTTACGAGTCCTGCAGTGAGAGAAGGTCAGAGATTTACTTTACGGGTTATTCAGACAGCCAATTAGAGAGCTGGAAGAGCTGAGAAACAGGTAGAGAGACGTGCATGAACAGCGGAGCGCAGACAGAGGAGCTACGTGTAAAACAGACAGATTAGAGCCGATATCATGTTTATAATGTTGATCCAGATCAGGTGAGTCTCTCTACAGTTTCAGCTCAGCTGCCAGTTTGCAGTGAAATATTTCTCTAGCTCTACTGTGATATCAGCGCTTCTCACCACAGATTCATCCCCAGTTTCAGCTTTCGCTGCTCATAAAACCACAAACAGGTCCAGCACGTTCAGCTCTGTGTGTGTCGTGTGATCTGAGGAATTCTGGGAGTTTGAGTTCTTATTCTTTGCCCAAACTCGCTGTGTTATTTCTCTCTGTCTGCCCCGTCGTCTAGTCTGAGTGCCTCATGACAAAAAGACAAGAAACTCTGTGACAGATGTTAAGTTTGTGATGCTCTCCGTTTTAGAGATCTGTTAAGTCGTGTCAGTGACGCCCTGCCCAAGTGTGCTAAACGCTACATTATGTCTGACCCTGCTGTCCCCCAGGCTGCCCTACAAGATGTATTTTGGAGGCGTTTCGGCGCTGACCCCTCTGCATTACCTCAAGATGAACGGCTTTCCCCAACAACTACTGGGGCTGGGGGGGCGAGGATGACGACATCGGGATCCGGTAAGAGTGAGAGAGAGTATAGGATGTGAGGCTCAATGCAGAATGAAAGAAAAGAAGACTATTAATCTGTCTATCTAACTCGCTCACTGTCTCTCTTTTTCCTTTGTCTTTGTTCTCCCTCACTTGTGTGTTGCTCATTTTCTCTCTCTCTCTCTCTCTCTCTCTCTCTCTCTCTCTCTCTCTCTCTCTCTCTGTTCACTACATTTCCTTGCTCGCGCTCTCTCTCGTCTTTCCTTTCTATCTTGCTCCGTTTCTCTCTCCTCCTCTCTTGTCCATTTCTCTTTTTCACCCTTTCTTTATTCTCCACATGTTCTTGCTCTCTCTCTCTCTCTCTCTCTCTCTCTCTCTCTCTCGTTTTTTTATCTTCTTGTTCTCTCTCACTTCTCTCTGTCATGCTCATTCTCTCCCTCTTTTCTCTCTCCCTTGACCTGTTCTCTCTTTCCAACTTTCGCTCTCACTCTTTTTTTCAATCTCCTTGTTCTTCTTCACTTCTTTTGGTCTTGCTCATTCTCTCTCCCTCTCTTTTCTTTCTCTCCCTCTCCCTCTCTTCTCTCTGTCATTTTCTCACTTGCTCACTCACTTTCTCTTTCTCTTGCTATTTTTCCTGCCTGTCTTGCTCATTGTTTATCTCTCGTCCCTTTCTCTCTTATTTACCTTCTTTCTCTATTCTCTACATTTTGTTTGTCTCTCTCTCTCTCTCTCTCTCTCTCTCTCTCTCTCTCTCTCTCTCTCTTCTCTCTCTCTCTCTCTTTCTCAGAGTCTCTTTGGCAGGAATGACTATCACTCGTCCGTCTCTGAAGGTCGGCCGTTATAAGATGATCAAACACAAGCACGATCAGGGCAACGAAGTCAACCCCAAAAGGTCAGCAGAACATTTTAATCTCATTTATTCCGAACCTCTAATGACCCGTCAGCACGAACCTCGTTCATTGACCTCTCCAGGCTCCGCCCACCAATGTGTTCTTTTGTAGCTACTGAGGCTGGAGAGGCTTTACAAAACACTGGTAAAAATCCCATTCAGCGTCATGAGAAACAGTTTATATCACAATACCTACATTTAGAGTCGGTTATTCATTCAGCCTTATGAGAAACTGTAGGTTGAAGTAATAACTCGGCGTTAGCTACCGTTTGAAAAGCTTTACTATGAACGATCGTATTTGTGGGCAGACCCTGAGAGGTCAGTTTGGTGCGGTCAGTGCTGGACATTTGTTCTGCAGCTGTTTACTCTAATAAACTGGGTCTTCCTCCTGGTGTTGTGCAGGTTTAACATGCTGGCGAAGACGAGGCAGACGTGGAAGTTGGATGGGATGAACTCTGTGGAGTACGAGGTGGTCTCTCGGGAGTATCTCCCCCTGTACACAAACATCACCGTCAACATCGGCACCGAGGCAGGACTGCACCCCCCCACGAAGAAACCACAGAAACAACTTAAACCAGAGAAACAACAGAAAGAGCAGAATCCACCAACGGACGACTTGGAGGACCCTGAAGAGGAGCTGACAGACTTTCAGTCCCAGCAATGACAGACAGTGCCTGCATCAACAACCCTCTCCAAACCCGCCCCGCCCCCCACCACTGACTACGCCCATCTTCTCATATACACATTTACACACACACAGAACTGGGGGGGTCCGGGGGGGGTCAGTCCTTCAGTGCCCTCCTTTAACCAGTTTTGAATGCTGGTGCTATACATGGTCTCTCTCTCTCTCTCTCTCTCTTTGCTCTCTCTCATTCTCTCTTTCTCTTTTTATCTCTCTCTTTGCTCTCTCTTCTCATTCACTCTTTCTCTATTGTCTCTCTAGCTAGCTCACTTTTCTCTTTCACTTGCTCTTTCCCTCTCTCCTCACACTCTCTCTCTCTCTCTCTCTCTCTCTCTCTCTCTCTCTCTCTCTCTCTCTCTCTATTTCTCTCTCTCGCTCTCTCTTTCTCTCTCTCTCTCTTTCTCTTTTCTCTCTCTATCTAGCTCACTTTTTCTTTTCACTTGCTCTCTTCCCCTTTCTCCTCTCTCTCTCTCTCCCTCTCTCTCTCTCTCTCTCTCTCTCTCCCTCTCTCTCTCTCTCTCTCTCTCTCATTTGATTTCCATGATCAGGACAGTTTTAAAACCGTCAGCGATGCAGAGATGCGTGGACTGCGTTTCCGCTGACCGCTGCTGGCCGCTGACGGACGCTCCGACACCCTGCAGACAGAAATGTCAACTGTCCTCCTCCGCACTCCTCCCTGAGACCGACTCTCCTCAGAGCCAGACGTGTTCTGGTTAAACCGCAGTGGCCTTAGATTGAAGCTGCACTCTTGTTTCTCCTAAAAGACTCTTTGATTTAGTTTTGATACAGTTTAAAGGGACACGCTAACATTTTTCAGCCTAATCTCTATCCACCGCATCTGTATCCTGTCGATCACCGCAGACAATAACCTCAACACGTTTATCTGAGCAGGGAAAAGAACAGGAAACCCATTAGCATCTCACTCTCTTATAGAAGAAGCCAGTGGGTGGCTGCTGAGTTTCGTGAATAAATCTATGAAAAATGTGACTTTCCAACACTGGAGCTTCGCTTTCACCACTGCCCAAGGTTTTCTGGTTTTCTGGTGTCCATGGTGGTCTGGTGGAGCCTGTGAGAACTTGACCCACAATGCTACACTGCCAGTTATTCACACTGGCACATTCATTTCTAAATACCTTTGACTGAATAATTCATGAATGTTCTACAAAAATGCGCATAAATACTGACCACTGACGAAACTCAGCAGCTGCCCATTGGCTTCTATTGTAGGTGTTTTTTTGAGTGAGTGGTTTGTTCTTCAGAGAACCGTGTTGTGGCAATAGACTGTACGCCAGATAGAGATTAGGTTAAAAATGATGGGAGTGGTTGTTTAAAGACCAGGGTGGGGTTAAACCGAAGCGCCGAGTCTTGGAGCTGTCTCACTGGGATTGTATGACTCTGCGTTTTTGGGGTTTTTTTTTTCGTAGTGACTTGTTTGCCAGTGGATGGCTGTTACTCGACTCGGCTTTTTACGTACTGTAATGAGAATACGGACATATTTTTTTGTATACGATTAACACAATCAGACCTGCATTCAGCCTCTTTTGTAACAGTAACCACTGCTGTACATATCGGTGAACCACTTTTCTCTTTTGTTTCTCGCTCCGTTTTGCCATTATGGCCTTTATGCTTCTCGAGTGGCCTGCCTGTTCACATCAGAGACGTGTTTTATAAGCTTGTGGTTTCTTTTTGTTTTTTTTCTTTATGATTAGTTATTTGCTGGATTGCATCAGGTAGATCGATCGAGTTGATTGGAACTTTGAGCCTGGTGGAAACTCACTGTCGCCGTGCTACAGTGACTGTTTGCTGTGGAATATTTCCTCGTGTTCATAAAACTTGCACCACTGTGTCTCTGCTTTAGGGATTAGGCATTAGGGGTTAAGGGGGTACGTAGAGCCATTTTTCTTCATTTTAAACAAAATGGACATAAACCAACCCCACAGTGCCAATAACTCCCAACCATAATGTGCTTTTCTGCATTATAAGCTCCTCATAATACTGAACTAATGCACTCCCAGTTACTCCCTGGTGAGTTTTAGGGTGAATTAGTAAGTAAATCACTGTTGAGACCCTCCAAAATGGCCAGTCTGTTCCATTTGAAGAGATTTTTATCAGTCCTAAAAGGAATGCTGCAAAAAATGGTATCTTGTGAAGTGAAATCATTTTAAATCTAGTCAATTTATGTAATATTTCCCATTTTGAGATGGTTGTGCACTTATTATAGGATTATTATAGTTTATGTCTAGACATTTTTCACTTGTTTTCAGTAATTTTATAAATAAAATTCTCACTGTACTGGCAGATAATTTTGCTGGTTTCAAAGCACTTTTCTTAAAAACAAGCCAAATTATCTTCCAATATAGTGAGAATTTTACTTAATACAATTACTGAAAACAGGAAAAAAAAAGTCTAAAAAGAAGTTAAATAATCTAAGCTTACAACATTGTCAACAGGAGAAATATTAGATTTATTGACTATATTTTAGATCATTTTACTTGAAAAGATACCATTTTTTGCAGGTGACCCAGGCTGCTAAGACAAGTATGCCTCAGATATGATGTACATGTCCAATATTGTTAAGTTGTGTAAACCAAGCAACATACTTTACTTATTATTAAAAATAAACAATCTCTATTAGCAGTTTGATGTTCATCAGGTGTTCGCTCTCTCTCGTCCAGTGAGAAATGTTATTTAATTCAAATATATCTTTCAGCCTTTCTCCTAGCAAGAGCATGACATTACCTGAGAATTTTTTTTTATAATAAAAGATTTCCAATTAATTTCGTAATTCAATAATATCGGACATGTACAACATTTTAAGGTACAGGTATAAACAGCTGGTGTTCCCTTTAACATCCTCGAAGGGAACCAAGGAATAGTTTTGCAAAAATATTTTTTAAAAAGTACTCAATTTTCTTTTCACTACAGACGTAGCTGTTCAGCCAAGACGACCTTGCTGGGCAGCTCAAACTGGTTAAGGTTTAATTTAAATGGTTTGCTGACCAGCTAATCCCTCAAACTCAAATAAAAACATATCCTATGCTGGATGTCCAGCTCGTCCACCACAAAAACCATCAAATACCAGTTTACACCATCTGAAAAAGCTGGTATTAGCTGGATTTTTCAGCACTGATATGTTTGGTGTACAAATTTAGCTTCCTCGGCTACGTGTCTAATGTAGCTAACTAGTAATTGAAGCTTATAGCCCCCCACTTAGCATCTGCAGCCTAAATCATCACACTCCTACCATCACGCGAACCAGTCTGAACTTTTTTTTTTGAGAAACGTGTCAGATAATCAGTTCTAATTGAGGAAAAGCAACATTAGCAACAGTATAGCGCCATCCTTTGGCATGGTACCGTAGAAGCCATCCTGAAACCATAAACTTTACCCATATTTTCATCAATGTGAACAAAAATATAAATGGAACACTTTTACTGAAAATAGTTTACTAAAACTGGAAAAAAACAGACTCAAGAAGCAGAATTGCCACATTAGCATCTGGTGTGACCGTTAGCCTGAAGCAGTGCAACACATTTCTAGATAAAAACCTTAGGTTTTTTTTTTAATAAACTGCTTCAAAGTAGGAGTAAAAACCAAAAGTTCTGCATTTATCTGTTTTTTCAGTGTATTTCAGTTTATCAGTGTGTCAGAAACCACATAAGCAAGTCTGAGGGAGAGTGTTAGCAACGTTAGCAACAGCAATATTAGCATCAGTACAGCACAGAGCTAAAAACAGTAGTAGCTGCCCTCAAAACCTGAATTTTGTTGGTATTTTAGTGCATGTTTCTATAGGGATGGGCAATATGACAATATTTAATAGTGTATGATAGATAGAAGCTACATAATCACATCTGTTAGGCATTACTTAGTGGTTTTAGGCGAGTGATGATTTAGGCATACAGTTAGCACCATGCTAACCATTTCTCCACACGTTAAGCCTCATTAGGCAGCAGTTTGCATTCACAGTTTTAAGGTCGCATATTATGAGAGAATTCAGGTTTATTTAACTCATTAAAGTCTCCCAGGGTGGATTATAATGGCACGCCGCTGTCCGAGCACAAACCAAAGAGGGCAGCAGCTGTTATCTCACTGAAGACAACAATTAGACCGTGTGTGTGTGTTTATAGGGTGCTGTGTGTGTGTGTGTGTGTGTGTGTATGTGTGTGTGTGTGGTTCTGACTCCTCTTGGCTGTTTTATGCTGCATTCATAACAGGGAAATCTGAATTTGTCCCCTACTTCCCACTTAAAAGCGCTCTTGCAACTTCAGCTGTTCAAAGCTGGGTTCTAACAGTGGACGCTAACAGTGAGCTAGCAATTGTTTGGCTGCTGTGTGCGTATTAAAAGCTCTTAAAAAGCATTCAAAGAGCTTTATTTCAAATGGAAGAAGGTTATAGCAGTTAACTGTTATTGTAAGGACAGAACTTACATTATGCGGCATAATTTGAGCAAAAATCTTGCATAGACGGAACAAATTTTTCAATTAACCCAGTATTCTCATGTTGTCAGATTTCATAAGCAAACAGTACCTCAGATACAACTTAATAATCTGCTTAAAATGCCCAAAAACATGCCATTATTCTGTGGGCTTAACCAGAGTTCCTGAGAAACTGAATTTCCATATGGGAATTAAGAGTTTTTTTCCCCCCACTTCGAAGTCGGAAAGGTCCCAGTTCATACATGGTTACGAATGCTGCATTAGTTGCTGCTGCTGGCTTAGAGGCTTATGGGGAATGTAGGCTGTTGGAACATTTGCGGTTTCTGCTTGGTGTTATAGGATCAGGTGTTTTTCAGTATCAGATGAGCAAATGTACCAAAATTGTCATTGTTTTCAGCCTTTTAACTTCTAAGCAGCTGCTCAAAGCAGGATAACTTGGCCATAGTTTGGCCAAAAATCAGATTTACCCGGCTTTTCTCTCTCATACCAAATGTAGGTAATCAGCTGAGATGTTCAGTGCGGCCAAACAAGTAGTGGAAACCTGTTAGCACCAGTTAGCATGCTTAAGTCATTGCTTTAAACCATGTTAAGTAATCTCTAAGAGACTTTATTGAGGTTTGACGATGTATGGCGCACTGCACTGTTATTTGTCAGACTTCGATTAACGTTCCCTGTTAACTACATTCAACTGACTTCAAAATGGCTGCTACTGTTTTTCTATGCTAACGTACTTTATTCCATATTTATAGATAACAGTGAGTAACAGTGTCAGAAACCACATAATCAAGTCTTATTAGAGATACTGAACAACTTTAGACAAGTGTGCTGATCCAGACATGCGGTTAGCACCATGCTAACTTGTGGAATTCCATTACTTGTTAGCCACATTAGCCTCGTAGCTCCAGTGCTAAACTGAAGAAACAAACTCGAGACAGCAAACATGTCTTGGCTGATGCACTGCATTGGTGTTAAAGGGGAAACCAGGTAGATTTGTGTTTTGGCTGTCACTGTAAGCCAAACGTAAGTGTTATGAAGCGCTGCGGTAGGACAGTTAGCCAGCTAACAGAGACATCCTGCTTTGTCCTCCTCCACTCTAAATGCATAACTCGGGAAAGCCTCTGTAAGAGCAGTTAACAGTGATTTTAATGAACTCGGATGCTTCTTTAATCAGTCATTTCACCTGCATCTCAAAGCCATAAAGGAAAAATAGAGTACAATAGCAGTGATAGCTATCATGGTTGCAGGCTGAGTTCAGTTTAGTGTTAGTAAACAGGCTGATGTGAACAAATAATCTTACTTTTCTCTCTTATGCAGCTGTATTTCACAGCTAAAATGTAGAAATATCTAATTATGAATGGGTTACATTTCATCGTTATTAGGACTGAGCCGTGATTCGCTGCACGGGGAGCATTAACTGGCGATATTTTTCTAAACGTGCCTCGTAAGGCAGTGAAATCTGATGGACAGTGGTCAGATGAGAATTTTCTGTTTTGTTTTTGTTTTTTTCTCGAATGAATGAATAAATGAATGAAGTAATTCTGCACACAGTACATAGTGGCCTTATAATGATTAATAAAATAAACATGTTAATGAACTGTCTTCTCTCTCTTTCTCTCTCCAAGAGCAAAACCATATTGGTGGAAAAGAAAATGAGATCTGTATATGATGCATATTTTATGCTGTCATTAAATATTAATACAGCAATAAGCCACGAGAGGCTGAATTACTGTGGTTTTATCACAGGGAAGGGTGTTGTTAGGCACGACACGAAGTGGAGTACAACTCTCTTGCCTGTGATAAAATCACTAACACACAGCATCAAGTGAACTATGATAAAATACACACTTTTCCAGAAAGTAATCAATACTGTTATTAATGTAATGTTATTGCATTAATGTAATGTTATTATTAATAATAATCGACATAAGTATTCCACCAAGAAATGTAGATTACAATGAGTAAAAGCTTACTTTTACTGTAATAGTATTCATTTTATTAGCAACTAGTTTCTGTTACAATCACTAATTTATAATGTAGTAACTAGAAAATTAGCATGTAATTTTTAGGCTGGTACAGATTGTTATTATTCCATTTTATTGGTAAGTTGTTACCTCTACAATTGCTTACTTAGAATTTAGTAACAACTAAATATTTAACGTCATTTTTTAAGTTAGTACGACCTGATAGCTTAATATAAACATATCATTATTCACTTAAAACTGATCTGTACTACACATTGTGTACTATAGCAGCACTTTCAACTGCATTTGCTAGGAGGCACTGCATGGCTGTGATGTGAGCGATGGCCTTAAAATACGCATATTAGCCAGAGCGCTTTTTTCAATCAAGCAAAGGAAAAAAAGCTCCTCAAAACAAACCTGCAGTGAGAACAGCAGTGGAAGTAAATTAGTCCAAACTATTAGACCAAGAGATCAGCCTGTATAATGTGATTCCTAGTAAAAAATGTCATATAGCTCTGTTAAGATCAGTAAGCTGTCGTCTCACAGCAAGAAGGGCCTGGGTTCGATTCCCCAGCCGGGCAACCAGGGTTCTCCCCGTGTCTGCGTGGGTTTCCTCCCACAGTCCGAAGACATGCAGTCAGGCCAACTGGAGACGCTAAATTGCCACCTAGGTAAAGTCTGTGTGTCTGCCCTGTGGACTAGTGGCCTGTCCAGTGTGTTTCCTGCCTTTGCACAGTGAGCACTGGGACAGACTCCCACCACGACCCAGAAGGATGAGTGAATGTAGAGATAAATACCAATGCAATCATACAGATTTCATTCTTTTGTATTATTTCATTAAAATTTGCTTATAGACCTAAAAGAGTCCTTCTTAGCACAGGCTAGCATCAGCATTAGCTTTAGCCCTGGCTCATCTGAAGGAGCAGCTATCGTAGCTGAAACCTCATTAGATGTAAAAACTTGCTGCTTTAACATCAAGAGACGAGGTTTTCTGAAGGCTCTTTTGCTCTAAATGGTCCTTTATTTATATTATCGGTCCTTAAAATAGCTTTACAACACGTACGTGTTTATTTCTTCCCATGTTTTCCTCTGTTTGCTTCAACATTTCCATTTGTGCTGCAGATGCTAGCATGTAGCCTGAGCCAACAGTTGCCGGCCACTCAGAAAAGAGTATCTTTACCCACCACAGTAAACAGGCACATGTACAGAAAGTGTGTTTATGATGCGACTTTAATGAGACATGACTGATATAACCCACAAAAGGAGAAAGATGCATGCACTGGACAGATGTTTCCAGCTGTCGTTTTGCACACGCGAGGTTTAAGGCATCCAAGATTGTTCCTGTCACTGCTGTGTTTTCAGTAACATCCGGCCGACATCACCACGATTTCAAGGGAAACTTCACTCAAACGGAATTTTCTGTTTAACCTCCGCTGAAGAGCGTTAAAGGAAAACTCCGACGTTTGTTCAACCTAATCTCCATCCGCTGCTCCCGTACCGTACGCTCAGTTACCACAGACAATAACTTCAACAGGTTTTCCTGAACTTAGAAAAGAGCAGGAATCCCATTAGCATAAAACACACTTACATTAGAAGTCTATGGGCAGATGCTGTCCGTGTGCTACAGACGCTGGAGATAAGAACGCTGAAGTATTCCTTTAACCAGCGGAGGTTTATTTTGCTTTACTTTACTTTATTTTGCATCTGCAGCTCCTGAGCTGTGTCGCTAACAACACTGACAAATCTGTGAATGAATATTAACCACTCACGTTTTTTAAAAGCAAATAACTACACATGCAAAAAAATGACGAACTACATTTCTTACAAGGGGGGGTTAGAAAAATCCAAGTCAAATTGGAAAAACAAAAAGAAAAGTACACTTTTAAACAGGCAATTAACGTCTTTTATAAAACACCTAATTTTAATTCCCACGTATGGCTTTTTGCTTTTCTCGTTTTCTGAATAAAAGGGGTCGAGTCGTTACGTTACAGCCGAACGGTGCCGCTCCAGTTCTGACCAGTTTCAGATTTCAGATTTTCCTGTTCCAGTTTTGATTTCTGCTCACAAAAATGTCACTATAAAAATCTCGCGCACTACGTAAATATAAATTAACAGACATAATTCAAAGAGAGAGGAAAAAAGAGAGAGAACGCCTTTTTTCTTTTGTTTAAGCATCCAGTCGTAAGTTTGATATGTTACTTTAGTGCGAACGCACCCGGTCACTTTCGGACCCTAATCAATACTGGCAACGGCTGAGTATAAAAAAACACAGTCAGTCAATATTTACGAAATTCCGTACAACCAAAAAGTTTGCATATCAACGTTTCTTTCTCCAGGACACACATTCATGTTTCTCTTCGGGCCTTTTTCTTCTTCACCTGCTTGGGGGATTCCCAGCTGTCCTCTGGCTTTTCTGGAGGAGAAATCAAAGTAAAAAGCATTAATTCAACATTAGTTCCATAATCAACATCAAATACGTTAAAGGGCTCATATCCTACACTTCTCTTCCTTTAAGGCCCACTTCTGTGTGGTTTTATGTGTCTAAAATAGTCATAATTCATGATCCTTTTCCAGCCTCTCTTTATCCTTTAGAATTAAACAGGCTGTTTTAGTTACTGTGCCTTTAAGACCAATGTATGTAAATAAGCTATATTCCGATTGGTTGTGCCTCATTCAAAAAGCACTCAAATGAGCTAGTTCTTGTGACATTTTTTAGATTAAGTCTGAGTTCTGAACATTATTTTTTGCAAACAACACAATTTCAGCTGGTAGTCAAAGGGCTTTCTAAAGGGAAGTCCATGGATTTTCCTACATTTTTGCATAATTAACTGGTTAAAATGTAAACACAGTCATTCAGAGTGGTAGAACTCGGGTACAGAACGAATTATCCATCAACCTGAAGAAGTTTCACTATGCAGAGGACCATTTAATCATGAAATGGGTCTATATAGAACTATTCCCTTTACTAAAGACCTGTTGAAGAACCACTTTAAGTGGGTACAACACCAAACAAAAAGTAAGGAAAAATCAGTTTTCCATATTACGGCCCTTTAAAGTGGAACTCCACCAGTTTTTCAAAATTTCTGCATTATTAACTGGTTAGAATGTAAACAGAGTGGTTCAGAGTGGTTTGGTGTGAAACGCTCTGTTCTAGAGAAACTTACAGAGTCAGAACTGTTCACAGTGGTGGTGATAGGAACCAGACGTCCACCTCTAAAAGCTCCCTCACAGAAAGTTCCTGGTTATGAATTCACTGCCTGATGACTGAGACACTGTTTTATGATAGTTTAGAGAACTTAAACTCCATTCATGGTGGAGGGATACATGCAGGGCGCTGTGAGGCAAAATAGTCCCCAAAGAAAACTGATTATTTCAGATTTTTCCACTATTTTCCATCATCAACATTCCATATAAACTCAGAAGACTCGTGTAGGTTCACTGGTGGTTCTGGATAGTACATAAAATGTCTATATTTGTGTTGTAGTCATGGCGACCCCTGGTTCCTATCACCACCACTGTAAAGACATCTGAACCATTTCACTGCAATTCCCCTTTTAACTGACAGCCTATAATTTATTCTGATTAAAGGTTCTAATTCAGTGACTTGTTTCCTAACTAATGTTAAAGCTTGTTACCATGGCGGCAAATCCAAATCGTGCTGATTACTGCACTGTGTACTGCTCTGTGTGAGTGAGAGCTGTTGGTGTTTGTTTACTCTGTGTGGGTGTAGCTGAGCTCCTGGGCGTCATTTCAGGTTCAGTGGGCTTCAGAGTGGCTCTTGGAGGGGCTGAGGGGGCCACGCTTTCCTGCTCCTACACAAACACAAACAAAACAAAGCTCAGAATCCACAGCACAGGTGCTTCAGTCATCATCAGCCAGGTTTCCATCAGGCAGTGCGGCAGAGGCGGACAATAGGACGATATTTCATCGTTATGGTGATCATGTTTTTCTGAGTGTGTCGTGGACGTCGTCTGTACTTAAACACTGAATAACGGTTAATCATTAACCGATTAGCTGTTAACTGACAAATACATAAATCGCTGCTGTCGGAACAAAACCTCATATCTCCGTTTTTGTCGTTTTTCAGTTTTGGACAAAACGTGAAAATCCCTGTTACTCTTTACATTGTGTGTAAATTTCATGATGGTTCCATTGACTTACATTAAAAGTAAAGTAGTTTTTTTCCTTCTCCTGTAAAGTTACCGTTTTGGAGATACAGGATTTTCTTCTGACAACAGCGAAATGCTGGATTAATGCTTTTGGTTAAGAAGTTTAATTTCTGATGAACAACTGATATTTCAGTTAGTGGGTTTTTCATTCAGCTTAAGGAGCGTTTTTTTTGCATGAGGACCCAAGAGCGCAACCTGTTCCGCAACTCCAGGACCGAGAGGTCATGAAGGAGGAGACTCACTATAGGACGATGAGCTTGGAGATACACACATGCGAAACAGCCAGAACCTGAAAAAACTGCATTCGTGTACGTTATTTGAGCCAAACAGTACAAATACTTAGGCCAATTTTAGTCAGAATTTGTCCGTGATTTCTATTCTGTATCTGAACCGATAATTTAGTCTTATGTTTCATAAGGTTGACCAGATGACCACTGACTTGACAGACGTTCCCATATGGCCTCTGTCTGGGTTTTCTAGACTCTAATAATATGGTAATAATGTGATAAATGGTCAATGTACACACATATAAAGATGGTTCTTTAGTGAAGAAAATGGTTCTTTGTCTCATGAAAGCGTTCTTCAGATTGATGGAGAACGTGCTGTAGATGGTTCTATAAAGAATCTTTTTGAAAAGGGTTCTAAAGAGTACCAAAAAGGGTTCTTCTGTTCGATTTCAAAAAGACTCTACAGCACATTCTGAAGAACGCTTTGACGACGCAATGAACTCTTTGATCATGCAAAGGGTTCTTTGAGTGTTCATGGTTTTATATAGAACTATTTTCTAGACTAAAGAACCCTTGAAGAACTGTCTTTTTAAGCGTGTAAGTAAGCAGCCTACATAACGTTCCTGTCACATCTGTTAGGTTAAAGCCTTTATGCATGTATGTTTATGTGAAAACTCAGTGCTGTATTTGGTGCTTTAATGGCTCGTGTTGAAAATCCCAACAGCGGTGACATCAGAGGTGAAACATCGCTGGTTCCCCTGTCATGGGACTGACACTGGGTGTCCTTGGACGGTGCTGATGGTGCCCGGTGTACGAGGGCCGACTCTTAACTACCGGCCCGCTGCCGGCAGAGCCAATCATGTCGTCGGGATTGAGGATTTTAATCTCTTTTGGGACACAGAGAGCCAGTCGGACTAAACGGCCTCAATCTGAACAGGACTGGTGTGCGAGTCGGGTTTGTTAGTTAATGATTACTCACTGGCTAATGATGGTCAGTTATGGGTCAAAAGAATTTGCCAAAATTCACATCCCTACTACCGGTGCACTGTGTCTACAGGGGGTATTTGAGAAAGCTGGATTTCTCAGTTAGGCTGGGCCTACATTACACGATTTGCCTGATTTTGACCCCAATTTGCCCCTTGCGACTAATTTTCACAACCTGAAGCGATTCTCCAGGTCGGAAACTCGATCGGAAGCAACTGATGGTGCAGAATATGTGGTTGTGTGAGAGGAGAAACAAGGGAGTCTTTAGCCCCCTGCTCTGAAGTGATCAGAGACCCTCAGATTTTATCAGACATGTTTAATATTTACAACTCCAAATGTTCACGAGTCCTGCAGTGAGAGACGGTCAGAGATGAACTCAGTGAGTGATTCAAGCAGCCAGAGGAGCTGCGTGTAAAACAGACAGATTAGAGCCGATATCATGTTTATAATGTTGATCCAGATCAGGTCTCTGTCTTACAGTTTCAGCTCAGCTGCCGGTTTGTAGTGAAATATTTCTCCAGCTCTACTGTGATATCAGCGCTTCTCACCACAGATTCATCCCCAGTTTCAGCTTTCGCTGCTCATAAAACCACAAACAGGCCCAGTGAGTTCAGCTCTGTGTGTGTCGTGTGATCTGAGGAATTCTGGGAGTTTGAGTTCTTATTCGTAGCCCAAACTCGCTGTGTGTTATTCTCTCTCTCTGCTCCGTCGTCTAGTCTGAGTGCCTCATGACAAAAAGACAAGACATTCCGTGACAAACTGACGTTAAGTTCGTGAAGCTCTCCGTTTCAGAGATCTGTTAAGATCGTTAAAGTCGTGTTGTGTTCGCCCAGCCTTAGCCAGATAACTCAATCCCAGAGATACGGACTGTCCAACAGGACTGTCCCTCAGCTCTTATCCTATCGGACAAGCATGACTTTGGGCTCACGTTATCAGACTAAACTGAAGAATCCTGCTTTGTGAAATTCCCCCCAGCTCAAAATACTGTGATGCATATTGTGCGTCATGAAAACACCTTTTGTGACTGTGTTGTGATATGATACGATGTGATATGATGATGATCACGGGTTTGTGCCTGTACTCAACCATACGGATCGTAAGCAGCAGGGCTAAGGTGACACACTGCGCCTCTGGTGCTATGCTCTCAGACGCCTGATATTTCAGACAGCTTCCTGATATTGTATCTGACCATCGGACAATCAGTCGTATTATTGCACACGCTGGAAAGCATAAAGGGAGCAACCTGAGCTCCTGAAGAGGGATTTTTCAGAACTGTTTGACACACTTGGGAGACTAAACTTAGAAGCATTCATTGGTGCACCTCTCCCAGCTCGAGGCTCCAACATGGTCTTTCCTCTCTTCGTCACTCATTCGCTCCGCATGCAAAATGCAACTACGCAAGGGCATCTGACATCACATGATGACCCACAGCAGGTGCTCACTGTCTGTGTTTACATGCAAAGATTTTCTCCAGTCTGATTGAACACATTCCGATTATAGATTAAGACTGAGGTGTTTATTCTGAACTTTACTCAACAATCTGATGAAAATCTCCGTTTACATGCTCACTACAAGTAACCCGATCCAAAATTACACTCATGCATAGAGAACCACTTAGTGTAGACGTGAGTCCAGTCAGAGTGAGATGAGCAGCAGTGAGCAGCGCTTGTGTTTTTAATCACTTTAAAATGATGTCAGACTCAGGAAAACGTCCTTCACATGTCCTTATTAAAGAAGGCCGAGAGGAAGACGTCGTGTTCTGAGACACATAAGCTGGACGTCCGTCCCACCGCCGTCTTTTAAAGACCAGAGCATAAACTTCGTCTCCTCTGCAGACCAGTTTCTGCTCCGCCATGTTGAACGGTATAAACTTTCACTTTGACGAGACGAACATGATCAGAACGGGCTTAAACTTTCCGATAGGGAATGTAATCAGATACAGGCGTTCACACGGATATTATTCTTCTATTTAACGGATTATTTACAGGATTACCCACCTCGATCAGCTGGATAGAAACTGTATTCTGAATGGCCTCAATCAGACTAGAGTATTCTAACTGAGGTGTTTACACAGATGTATTGTTTTCCGATTGAGCTATCAGTCGGATTATTAATGGATTATCAGGTTGCATGTAAACGTGGCTAAGCTCTGTCTGCAGTGGGCTGATAGTAAAGAGTCACCCCTTGTACGCTGGGCACCATCAGCACCAGGACACTCAGTATCAGTCCCACCGATGATGTTTCACCACTGATGTCATCACTGCTGGGATTTTCAGAGAGAATAGAGGAACTGGTGGACGCTAACTACTAAGCTGGCCGAAAGCACTGAGCCCTTATGTGTCTCTGGAGAACTGGCGGGCACCTCCACCTCCTAAACACCGCCCCCAGCCTCGCCCTCCATCTAACGCAGTGTTCGGCCACTACCACAGCGACAGCAGCGTCCACATCCGTCATCTCTTCAGGCAGCACACAGTACTGCATGTTCAGTCAACAAAGCTGATAAAGTCTGATATCTCCAGAGTCCGCGCTGTAGCTGTGATCATATTCATGAAAGTTTGCAAAACAAGCCGGACCCTCAGGTACCTGTAACTTACAATCCCATCCTGATTGGAAATAGAATGAACAGCTCTTTTAAGTCACTCTGTACGTCGGCCAGTTCTGAATCAGATTTGTAGGTAAAAATAAAATAATCCTCCTTTACAGTAAAATAAAGCTCTGCTGATCGTTCAACACAGTTTAACAATAAATGGTCTTAAACTCTGGAGTTAATGTAGAACTGCTAATTCACCCTTTAACCCTGACGATCAGCACAGACTGAAAAAGTTTCCTGCTGGAGATGCGAGAACAGCGGCTATAGCTGAGCTAAAGCTTAAAGCAGAGCAAAGTAAGTTTTTATTTATATTCTAGTCTGTAGTAGTCTATACTACATCAGCACACACTGAGACATATTTACACCCAAGATGGTAAAATGGACATAAAATGTGGTTTGATTTTTGCTGACAGGACAAAATGGCTCTTTTAAACATTTGGGTTGCGACCCCTGTTTTAGACAGACTGGAAAATGGTTCTTAGCTGGTTCTAATCATATTTGGAAGATAGGAGCTACTTCATTGCAATCAACAACTGAGAATCTAAAAGGGAAACACTGACCTGTGGTGTTCCACAGGAATCCATTCTTGGGCCCTTATTGTTTAATCTTTATATGCTAACACTGGGGCAACATTCTTAGAAATAATAAAAAAATATCGTACCATAGCTCTGTAAATGACAAACACACATCTGCTTAGCTTCTCACCAGAAGACTACAGTCCCAATGACACTTTTATGTCCACACCTAGAGTCAATAAATGTCTGGATAAAAGAAACCTTTCTCCAGTACCATAACGAAAAGACAGACACCAGGTCAGTGCTCGTCTCGATGCCAGAGCTCTGAGATCAAGATCAAGTCAGAAATCTTGGCATAACAATGGATTCAGGTCTGATTTTCATGTAAAAACAATACCGAAAGCAGCAGTTAAGCATCTCAAGAACATAACAGCTGTAGCTGCTAGAACGTTTACGAGAACCAAGAGGTCTGAGCACATCACTCCAGTCCTCCAGTCGCTACCGATTAAGCACAGAATTGACTTTAAAGCGCTTCTAATTGTATATAAATCTCTGAATGGCCTTGAACCAAAATACATTGCTGATCTGCTTGACATATACAAACCCTGTAGGCCTCTCCGATCACTCGGGACTGGTCAGTACGCAGTGCCCAGAATCAGAACCAAACCGGGTGAGGCAGCCTTCAGTCACTCTGCTGCCAACTGCTGGAACCAACTCCCAGATGAGGCCAGATGTGCTCCAAATGAAGTCCAGATTGAAAACGTTATTGTTTTCTTGTGCCTTTGTTTCTTTTAATTCTATTTTAGTTGCTGTTTTGTCTTTTATCTTTAGCTCTTTAAGTTTAAATTGTCACTGTAGTTTATCTTAACATTATTTTCATTTCCTTTAATTCCTTATTTTATTTGTTATTTTATTGTATTTCATTTTAAGCTTTTGATTTGTTTTATTTTGACTCATATGACATCTACATGTTCTCCTAAGCTTTTTCAGCTCTTTGGAGGTTTTAAATGTGTGCTAGCCCGAGTATCCCAAAGACTGATAAACAGCTTAGAGGTTGGTTTTGCTTCAAAGTAAGATTTTGTTCAGTTACTGTTGCTATTTAACCGGTAAAGCGGTAACATTTGGTGCTCTTCGTCACTCAGGGTGCTGGAAATGACTAACATATTTTTCTTTTTTATATTTTATTACCTCCTACTTTCTTTTAATTCTGCCTTTGTAACTATCTTTGCAAAAGCCTTTCTGAGGTGTTAAACCTCAGGATGATCCAAGCTGTATTATTGCGTAAAGCACTCTGAATTGGCATTGTGTGTGGAAGGTGCTGTACCAGGGGTCGCAACCCAAATGTTAAGAAGAGCCATTTTGTCCTTTCAACAAAAGCCAACCCACTTTGAAGTATTGTTTTACCATCTTGGCTGTAAGTACGTCTCAGTATGTGATTAATGTCCTAGTACAGGCTAAAAATATAATATAAACAAAACGCAGGCTAATTTTGCTCTGCTTTAAGCTTTAGATCAGCTATAGCTGCTTTTCTCGCATCTCGGGCAGGAAACTTTTCCACAAAGACTGTAGAACAGTTTCTTCTAAAATGTCTCTTAAATGTTCAACTTTTTACGAGGCTGAAGTCGCTTCTCATTCGCCAGCTTCTTGTTCGAATTCTCCCGTTCCACCTTAAATGGTGCCTGAGGTGCCAGAATGTAACTGCTGCACCATTTAAGGTGGAACAGGACAATTTGAACAAGAAGCTGGCGAATGAGAAACTGACTTCAGCTTCAGGACTCTTTAGTGTTTCAGTTTCTCGTTGCAGATTAAACGTATCAGGAAACCAGCTGGAGTGATTATAAACACAAATAAGTCCATTCGTCTCCAAATTATCGATGTTCGTCTTAAATCTCTCTCTTTGCCGTTTCGTTAGCTACTAGCTAGGCGAGACTGTTGTCTGTGTTGCTATGGTGACCAGCAGTCTGTGCTGATCTTCAGGGTTAAAGGGTGAATTAGCAGTTCTACATTAACTCCAGAGTTTAAGACCATTTATTGTTAAACTGTGTTGAACGATCAGCAGAGCTTTATTTTACTGTAAAGGAGGATTATTTTATTTTTACCTACTAATCTGATTCTGCTGTGGAGCCACAGGGCAGTAAAAGAGCCGCAGGCTGCCGACCCCTGGGCTACACAAACAAACTTGCCTTGCTTTGCCTTTTTTCAACCCAAAAAGTGAAGAAAATAAGGGACGTACTTTGACTGTTTTAGGCAAAATATTCCCTGCAGTGTTCTGGTCTTTAGCCACACCCACTTCTCCTTCCACCTGCCAATCAGAGGAAAGTTAAAATGAAGCCACTTCTCAAGTTCAGTTATTCCAATGATAGGTCAGTTATGTATGAGTTTGTCTTCCCTCACCTGAGCAGCAGTCCCACCGTCCTCCAGTTTCTTCTTTTTCTTCTTCTTCTTCTTGGCTTTGCCGCTTCCGGGAGCAGCTGGTTCTTCTTTGTCTTTCTCGGTATCGGATTCCTGCAGGGGGAAAAAGGAATAAACATGATCATGCAGTTATGTAACGAGCATTTGCATGACTCATATTCAGAAAGGAGGAAAGATCTGCGAGCGCTTTGAGAACAGAGAACACACAGAACTGCTGGCTTCAGTTAGAGTCGCCGCGCAATCCAACTCAATTATCCCAGTCCGGATTGATTTATTTTTCAACGTCGCCTCGTTTTTCATGTCAGAGATTCTGAGAGCAGCTCCAGAATGAGTGCGTTTGGTGATGAATAGAGCAGCAAAACTGTTTTGCCGTTTCTGTGTGTGGACGATTCTACTGAACTGGTTTGAAGTCAGAGCTGAAACACATTTGGGTCTTTTAACTGATCTTGGACTTTAGACTTTTAGAGTCTTTATCAAAGACTTTTTATCAAAGCAAATGATTGAATATCCCATTTTGTCTCTATCAAAACAATCATAACTCTACCAAATGTTTCAGTAGTGACTGTTTCGGTGACAATTTTAGCTCAAAAACTCAGCAGTACAGACCAGCAAACACAGCTGTGAACAGCTGTTCACACAGAAAATCATCATATTTTACATTAAAACACTAAAAAGTGCTGAACTGCAGAAAATATGACGATTCTTAATGTTCCACACTGATTTTCAGACTTTGGGACTCATTTACTTCAAAACAATGGGATCTAACTGCTCACCATGTGGCCATGAGGGACAGGGATGCAGCCTCACTTCCTGCTCTGAAATGCAGGGGCGTGGCTAAAATAACAGACTAAACTTCTGTGTTAAACTCGTGATAAGTCTAAATATTTCAACATCACTTTATGCTTAAAAAAGGCAAAAAAAGTCATCATTATTTTCACAAGTGTAAATTTAGGGGTCAGGGTTTGGGACAGACTCCTCCCAATAGAAGGTACCCTATGAATAATGATTGTGTATATATTATAATTAGCTTATTACTGTCTCTATTAATGTTTAAACAGATCAGAATATAATCCTTGTAAATATCTAAGCTCTGAATACTTCACTGTTTTTACTGTGGCAGCGCAGTTTGAACTCGATTTAATGCTGAAACAACTAAATCTAGCAAAGTATATGTCAGTATTTGTCACTGCCCACCTGCTCAGATATACCATCATATGCAGAACATCCCTGGTCAAATTATGTATTTTGTTGATTTTTTGAGTAAAAATAAGTTACCACATCCTCTATGGGGGGAAAACCTTAAACATGGCACATTTTAGTGCACAGTTTCCTTCTATTTGCTGACTAAAGTGTGCCATAACTTTTGCACAGGCCACATTTTATGTTTTGTTTCCTCCAAATATGCAAAATTCAGTAAATAACCAATAACTGTGTATTAAAATGTGCAAATGTGTTCTCTACAGTGGACGGTTTCACTTATTTACGCTTAGAAAGTCAATAAAAAAAACATAATTTGACCAGGGGTGCCTAAACTTTTGCATATGACCGCATATGCGCTAATAAAATAAAATCAAGGACCACCCGGCTGTACATCACAGACCCCGCTCTGAGAACCACTGCTGTTCTTTTGTGTGAATGGAGTCTGAAGTGTCACTAGTCATGACTGTATTGACCAATCAGACAAAAGAGAAGGCGGAGCTTCAGTAAAATCTGACTGACAGATAGGACACCGCTGTTGCTTGGCAACCTGAAAGAAGTGCCATGTAAACATTCCTCCCCCTCACAGAACCTCAGTGAGTCTAACTGACCTGCAGCTCTGCTGGTGGCGCCCGTGAGCTCACAGCGCCCTCTGCTGGCCGACCCTCATAATTACCCCACTCCTCAGACGGTGGTCTCCAGTCAGACGAAGGGTCCGCACAGCTGGTGTCTGCAGCAGGATTATTAAACAGTAACTACAGGGGAAACTACGCCAAAGGAGTGGGTTGTTATTCGGTTATAGAAGTGAGGAATGGAAGTGTGGATCGTGACGCCACAGGGCAGCGGCGTGACTCACTGGGTGCAGACCACTCATCGTCCACTTGAGGCTGGCAGGCCCAGGAAAGGTCAGGAACAGGCTGAGGCTCACCAGCTGCTGAGAAAGAGAGAAAGGGAGGAAAGAAAGAAGGAATCGCACTGTTCACTGCCCCACTGGTCACTCGGTTCTGTAGTAATGATGGTTTTTGTGAAGAAGTCTAAATGATTGACGTCTGAAGAACTTTAATAGAACATTCCTCTGTTTCACGTACCTGCAGGTAGTCCAGTAAAGGAGCCGTCCACTATAGTCCAGGAGCCTTAAAGGAACAAACAGAAGCCTCAGAAATACAACTTTAACCCCCTAAACTATGAATTATTCAACTACTGTCATAAATTATTCAGGATCTACTAATAATTATTCACCAACCAATATGAATTATTCAGTATCTACTATAAAAGACTGAATATCTACTGTTTCTGCACATCTATATATTTATCATATAATCTACATATCTAAGGTTCTTCACTCTACATTTGAGGTTTTTATATGTTCTGTTTACGCCGAGCCTTTAAAACGATTGACTGAGTAGCCGTTACAGTTGAGCTCTCTCTTTCAACTCACTGAGGAACAACGTTAACATGTTCAAAGCTGTGTTTGCTCCACATTTAAGGGTTCTTTAGTAAGAAAAAAATGGTTCTATATAGAACCATGAAGACCTGAACTCTTTGCATGATTAAGGGATCTTTGCATGGTAAAAGAGTATCAAAAAGAGTCAAAAGAGAATCAGATTTATGGAGAATGTGCTGTAGATGGTTCTACATAGAACCTTTTTGAAAAGGCTTCTATACACAGCACCAGGGGGGTTCTTTTATTGTTATGATGTCAAACCTGTAATCAGTCCAGGAGGCTTGATGGAACGAACAGAGGCCTCAGAAATACAACTTTAACCCCCTAAACTATGAATTATTCAATTACGGTCATAAATTATTCAGGATCTACTAATAATTATTCACCAACCAATATGAATTATTCAGTATCTACTATAAAAGACTGAATATCTACTGTGATTCAGCACCATTATCAATTATTTACTATCTACCATAAATGAATCCGTTTATACTACGAGCAGTTCACGATTTGTTTTGGGTAAATGTCTCCCAAAGTCTGAAAATCAGTGCGGAACATTAATAACTGTCACCACCGAAACACATTTTCTGCAATTACACTACAGAAACATATTCAGATTTTATGCGTCTACAGCTGTTCAAAGTTGTGTTTGCTCCACATTCAAATATTATGGTTCTTTGAGGGTTCTTTAGTAAACAAAATGGTTCTATATAGAACCATGACCACTCAAAGAACCCTTTGCATGATTAAAGGGTTCTTTGCGTGGTGAAAGGGTTCTTCAGATTGATGGAGAATGTGCTGTAGATGGTTCTTTTTTGAAAAGGGTTCTATATAGCACGAAAAAGGTTCTTCTATTGTTACAAAGTCAAACCTGTAACCTTTTTGGTGCTATATAGAGCCTTTTTCAAAAGGTTCCATATAGAACAATACACAAGACATTAACCAGCAATCTGAAGAACGCTTACACAACTCCAAGAACCTTTTAATCATGCAATGCGTTCTTTCAGTGTTCATGTTCTATTTAGAACCGTATTCTTTTAAGTGTGTAGTCATGTACTGGCTGTGTTTTCGAGTTCTGCTCAAAATCGGTCGTGTTATGACTGTTTTTTTAGTGACAAAATGGAATGAAAGGATAAAAATAATTACTTTTAACAAAATAAACTCAATTAAGGGCAAAATTTTACAGAATTTAAAGTGTGTTTTTAACTTTCAACCAATTCAGTAAAATCATCCACGAAACTCAGAAGACTCGTGTAGGTTCACTGGTGGTTCTGGATAGTAAATAAAATGTCTATATCTGTGTTGTAGTCATGGCGACCCCTGGTTCCTATCACCACCACTGCAAAGAAATCTGAGTTTCCCTGAAGTTTCCCTGAAGGCTACATCTCAAACTGACCTGAAACAGCAGAAATCCACCCTGATCAATAAACACCCCTCCACACCCATCACCACCGCGGCGGCGTGTTACCTTCCATGTCTTGCGGCCAGGCGGCCTGCAGGTCCTGGCTTTCGGCGCTCAGGCTGTTCCAGCTGTCCGGATGAACCGGAGCGGCCAACTCTCCCCAGCTGGATCCGTTCATGCTCAGAACCTCCTCCCAGCCTGGAGACACTGCAGGACACAACACAACAACCAGCTATCAGCTCAGCACTAAACCCAGCCAGCTCAGCCACTGACAGCTGACAGCTGGTAGTGCTAAGCGCTAACATTAGTGAAGCAGGCTCTTAAAACTGCGTCTCAGACTGGCTTTACAACGCCAACCTTCCATGCAACTAGTTGCATGCAACATAAATTCTATGCAACAAAAAAAAATGTTGCATGCAACACATTATTACTAATGTGTTATTATTTATTAGTAACACATTAGTAATGGCGTTATATTATTTATAGTAATATTTATTAAATATAGTAATTATTATAATTTTTATTAGTAATTATTATAATTAGTAATTATTGATACTAATTATTATTCATCAGCAGCTCATTTCTGATACACTCATTGTAGATTACACTTCTGCAACATTTATATTGTCTTTGTATATATTTTTTCAGCCGTCATCATTGTTGTCATCAACTTTAACCCCCTAAACTATGAATTGTTCAATTACTGTCATAAACTATTCAGGATCTACTATAAAAGTCTGAATATCTGTTTCTCCACATCTATATATTCATCTTCAAATCTATATATGAGCAGCCGTTACAGTTGTGCTCTCCCTTTCAACTCACTGAGGAACAACGTTAACATGTGCACAGCTGTGTTTGCTCCACATTTCAAAAATTACGGTTCTTTAAGCGTTCTTTAGTAAAAAAATGGTTCTATATAGAACCATGAACACTGAAAGAACCCTTTGCATTAAATGGTTCTTTGCATGGTAAAAGCCTTCTTCAGATTGATGGAGAATGTGCTGTAGATGGTTCTATATAGAACCTAGAAAAGGGTTCTATTTAGCACCAAAAGGTTCTTTTATTGTTATGATGTCAAACCTGTAATCAAAAAGGTTCTATAAAGAACCATATAAAACATTCTCCATCAATTTGAAGAATGCTTTCACGATGCAAAGAACCATTTAATCACTCAAAGGGTTCTTTGAGTGTTCATGGTTCTATATAGAACCAGATCTCAAGCGTCCAATTTACCATCTTCTCTTTTATTTTCTCGTCCATTGATCTGGCGAAATCGTCTGAAAGCATGTAATTCGATGTGATCATATGAGGCAGCATTCTGATTGGCTGTTTTTTGAAACTTCTTCCATGAAGTTCAGACGCTTGCAGCTGAGTCTCAAGTGAGTCGCAGAGCAGTTTACTTAGAAATTTAGTTTCATGCAGATTCCAAGCAACTAAAGTTGCACGAAGGTTTCACTGTGTAAAGCCAGCCTAACACCGATCAGGAAACGGCTCTGAGTTCGTAACGAGTAGCTGTATATTCACCCTGTGGGATGACAGCATGGACTTCAGCTGCAGGAGGCTCTTCTGTAGAGAAACGAGGGACAGTAGGAGAAAACATGAAATCAGAACTGGCACAAAATTGCATGCATCATATACGATCAGACATCACATCATGACCACCTCCTTGTTTCTACGCTCATCGTCCATTTTATCAGCTCCACTTACTATATAGGTTCACTTTGTAGTTCTACAGTTACAGACTGTAGTCCATCTGTTTCTCTGATACTTTGTTAGCCCCCTTTTACCCTGTTCTTCAGTGGTCAGGACCCCCATGGACCCTCACAGAGCAGGTACTATCTGGGTGGTGGGTCATTCTCAGCACTGCAGTAACACTGACGTGGTGGTGGTGTGTTAGTGTGTGTTGTGCTGGTCTGAGTGGATCAGACACGGCAGTGCTGCTGGAGTTTTTAAACACCTCAGTGTCGCTGCTGGACTGAGAATAGTCCACCAACCAAAAATATCCAGCCAACAGCGTCCTGTGGGCAGCGTCCTGTGACCACTGATGAAGGACTAGAGGATGACCAACACAAACTGTGCAGCAGCAGATGAGCTATCGTCTCTGACGTTACATCTACAAGGTGGACTGACAAGGTAGGAGTGTCTAATAGAGTGGACAGTGAGTGGACACAGTGTTTAAAAACTCCAGCAGCACTGCTGTGTCTGATCCACTCGTACCAGCACAGGTCAGATGCTTAAGGTTTGGTGCAGCTGTTCGTTAACAAGCCTGTCGTTAGCTCATGGATGTAGTGTAAGTTAGCGTCTCCCCACTAAGCTCTCAGAAAACAGGTCCGTTAGGTAATGATAGTGTCTTGCTCGCGTTGTTGGTTGTACTGCGGATGTTAAAAGGGTTTAGAGGAGCCCGCTGAACTCTGATTAGTGATCTTGTTAGTTATACATTTTATTAAATAAATCTTTCTACATCACTCATCATGTCTGGCATCAGTTCACTGCTTTTTTAGCAGCTATTCTCAGCTGTTTTCCAGCTGAAATAAATGAGATGAAAGAAACTAGACTCACAGCGTTAGATGAGGTAGCAGACTGTTAGATCGACTGTCCTTCTCATATTTGGCATATTTGTGATAAAAACACAGGAATTCCGATCTATCCGTTCACATTAAGGTCGCGTGACCACAAACCTAATACGCTTCCGATTTAGGACCACATTTGAAAGTGGCTCAAATCTGATTTGAAAAGATCAGATTTGTGTGTCCACACTGCTTCGAAAACATCGGATCTGTTCACATTAAGGCTAATAAACTGGATTTGCGCCACTTCAGCCTGATAATGTGAACGTAACCAAAAGCATGACTTGTGTCTGAGTTCTGAGTTTGTGCTGCAGCAGATCTCACCTCTTCTCTGGGCTGCGGCGGCAGGAGCGCTGGTGGTGGATGTTCTGGTGGTGTTTTTAGTGGTGGTGGTTGTTCTGGTGGTGGTGGTGGTGTTTTTGGTTTTGGTGGGGGTTGCTGGGGTGGTGATTTTGGGTTCCTCTGGAGTTATTATGGGCTGTTCAGCGGCAGAGGGCTCCACTCCTCCAGGACTGCCCGATTCATCCCCCGCTCCTTTATCTTTCCTCCGCTGCTGACGCTTCTCACGGTTACTCACTTTCGTCTCCCAGGCACCAGCTGACAGAGCATCACATTTGAAGAGTTTCATTCCGAAATGTTGCATATCAATTCGTAATGACTTCGGATAGAATTACAGATGATTTTTATGGAAAACACATTTTTATTTCTCTATTAAATTTTTTAGCAGTGCTAAAGTTAATGAAGCTGAACTTCAGACACGTCTCAGCTGAGCGGCTAGTCTGAAGTAAAGAGGGAAACGGGATATGAATAATATGTATTATCTTGAGTAACTGAGTAGATGTCTGGTTCTCATAGAGAGAAAAAGTACCTTCTTCTGGTTCTTTGCGTTCCGAAGGTGCCGACTTTGCTTCTTTTGCTGGAGCCTTTGGCTTTTTCTTGTTCTTCTTTGCCTACAAGCAGTTAGAAAACAGGTTAAATGAGTTATTCACACAGCCACAGAGCCACGATAAGGAACTTAGAGGGCGCAAATTTCATTCCCTGTCATTCATCAGGCAAGATTTAATACAATATTGTATGATTTAAAAAGCCTCTTTGATCTTTCATTCTATTCTGCACAGATTGATTTGTCCCAGATTAATAAAAGCTCTGCAGTAGAACTTTTTAGCATCGCCCTCAAAACAAAACAAAGCCCAAAAATCACAACCTCCACGAGCTCTTCAGAACAAAAGCCCTGTGATTTGAGTGTGGGTGTGTCTATAGAATAAGCCCGCCCCCTCGCCACCCCTTGTACTCTGATTTGCTGCACTCAGATGATGATTGACAGCAGTTTCCATAAAAGAAGGTTGCTGTCCAAAGAAACAGCAACCTTCTTTTCTGTATTTGAATGATAGAAAATAAAAATCTCTTTTTTCCGATTTTTATTTTCTATCATTCAAATACGGAATTGTGTGAAAATTTTATGATGAAATGGAATAAAATCTATTAACATTAACTTACAGTGAAAATAAAGAACCTGTCCTGTAAACTTACTATTTCAGAGCTGGGTAGCATTAAACTGATGTGAAATTAATGGAAATTAATGACTGTGGAAAAAAGCGTATATTACGACGTATGTTAAACGCTGTTAAACGCTGCAAATGTTGCCAAGCCACCAATTACCATAATGCAATTAATGTTGTGCTCCTAGCTTCCAACTCGAGTGAAGTCCCTTTATTTGCCTTTACAGCCAGAGACTGTTAGGAATTTGTGGTTTGCTTGTAACGTTGATAAGACTTTCACAAACAAGTACACTGGGCTTCGTTCACCAACTGAAATATCGGTAACACTTTCTATGAATGTCACGTTTGTAAGCATCTATAAACACATTCATATCATGTTGTAATGCATTCACAAGGCATCATAAACATGGCTATAAATATTTAATAAACATGCATTACACGTTATAGCTATGCTTATTATGCATTATGCTTATTGTTAACATTAAGCATTATAAGTAACGTTCATAACACATTATAAGAGCTCATAAGTGGTATTTGTCCGCTCTAAGTGAAGCGTACTGTACTAAAGCCTCCTCCAGTGTTCAGAGTGAGGCTTCAAGTTGAAGTATTTACTGAAGGATTTACTGAAACACTAAAACATTCACAGTAAAGCACATTACAGGCTTTAAATGTCAGAGTTTAAACTAGAGCTGCCATCAGTGTTTTACCCAATGTGGGAAAGGTAATGTACACCACCGTTAGCTTGGCACTCACTTAACACTGCATATCCAATAGGATGCCAGCAGAAATTAGCATTACTGTACTGTAGTGTAGTGATGTCACAGAGTGAAGGGTTCTAGTACTTGACGTTAGAACCAGTGAAGGAACAAATAACAATGACAGCGCTCTACTATCTTGCCTCTCCCTCTCCAGGCCTTCGCTCTGCAGTGACTTCACGCCCAGTGTGATGTCAGAGGGGGTTCAGGGGAGGGGCTGATGGGTACTTGGTTTGCTGTGATGTAATGTAGTGTTTAAAGTGAGACGCTGGGTAAGAAAAGCTCACTGTAGCAGTGATTCTAGGCTGGACAGCCAGTTTGGAGCATCTGAATATTCAGGACTGAAGCCCTGAAGATGCAGCTCTAACAGCTCCAGCGCTGAGAAACAAAATACTGGAAATCTCAGGACGTAAATAAACTCTGTATTTGTCTTTACTTTACACTCTCCAAGCTGAGACTGACTTCTTTGGCTCTGACAGTATAACTTGTTATTAACACTACTTATAATGTGTTATATTAACAATTCATAACGTATAATAAACATGGCTATAAAGTGCAATTCAGTGTAATTCATTTTTATAAATATTTATAACCATGTTCATAACGCCTTATGAACGCATTATAATATGTTATGAATGTGTTTATAGATGCTTACAAACGTGACATTCATAGAAAGTGTTACCGAGATTTCTTCTTAAACCCACTTACGCAGTTTTTAGTAAGATTCTGACTCACCAGTGTCTCTTATGTGGGATTTGTTCTTAGGTAAGAACAGAATCTACACACACTCAAGAGCACAAAGGTTAGAACGGTTCTGCGCTTTCAGAACACGTCATGAATCTGACGGAGACTTTTTTTAGGACCTTTATCAAGAACATGTTTAAGATCAAACTTAAATATGTTGAAGATACTGGTGAATGAGGCCCAGTGAGTTAAAGCCCAAACGCCTATCACTCTCTCGACCGAAGATGCGACTCTAAAACAGGTTTGCTGCCTCTGCAGATTAGGCGGGGAACCCGATACAGGCAGCTGGTGCTCTCAGATCAACGTCTTTACTTCTATGGCTCGAGGTGCCGCAGCTATACGTGCACTTCAACTCCCTCAGTATATAAATGGATCCACTCCAGCAGCCGGAGCTCTTACCTTATCTGCTTTAGGATCAGCTGGATCCTGACTCTGGACCTCCGCCGGCTTCACTTCTTCCTGAGGTTCCACGGCGAGGCCGTTTCTATGAAGCTTCTACAGGACAAATCACAAACAACACACTGACATTTTTAGTGAATAATCACAGTTATATTCGTCTGTTAAAGGCCTCAGGGTGTTAAATCTCCATTAAACCTGAGTTATTTTAAGAATATTAAACCAACATTTCACATCTGAGGCCTGAACATCGAACCAGACCTACTTTTTGAGACTGTGTGTGACATTAATACGTAAAGACGTACGACATAGTGCGTGAAAAACTCAACACCTCTGACTTTTAAACAATTTACAGGTCGATGGCAGCGCACACTCACCATATTTTAACACATTTTTTCTCGACTCCTAAATGATCAGTGCACTATTCTCATTTTTAGAGAATGATCAGTGCACTATTCTCATTTTTAGTGAATGATCAGTGCACTATTCTCATTTTTAGAGAATGATCAGTGCACTATTCTCATTTTTAGTGAATGATCAGTGCTCTATCCTCATTTTTAGTGAATGATCAGTGCACTATCCTCATTTTTAGTGAATGATCAGTGCACTATCCTCATTTTTAGTGAATGATCAGTGCACTATTTTCATGTTTAGTGAATGATCAGTGCACTATCCTCATTTTTAGTGAATGATCAGTGCACTATTTTCATGTTTAGTGAATGATCAGTGCACTATTCTCATTTTTAGTGAATGATCAGTGCACTATCCTCATTTTTAGTGAATGATCAGTGCACTATTTTCATTTTTAGTGAATGATCAGTGCACTATTCTCATTTTTAGTGAATGATCAGTGCACTATCCTCATTTTTAGTGAATGATCAGTGCACTATCCTCATTTTTAGTGAATGATCAGTGCTCTATTCTCATTTTTAGTGAATGATCAGTGCACTATTTTCATGTTTAGTGAATGATCAGTGCACTATCCTCATTTTTAGTGAATGATCAGTGCACTATTCCCATTTTTACTGAACGATCAGTGCATTATTCCCATTTTTACTGAATGATCAGTGCACTATTCACATTTTTACTGAATGATCAGTGCACTATCCTCATTTTAGTGAATACTAACAGCTTCATTCTCATTTAAGTGAATGATCAGTGCATTATCCTCATTTTTAGTGAATGATCAGTGCACTATCCTCACTTTTAGAGAATGATCAATGCACTATTTTCATTTTTAGTGAATGATCAGAGCAATATTGTCATTTTTAGTGAATGATAAGTGCACTATCCTCACTTTTAGTGAATGATAAGTGCACTATTCTCATTTTTAGTGAATGATCAGAGCACTATTTTCGTTGTTAGTGAATGGCCAGTGCACTATCCTTATTTTTACTGAATGATCAGTGCACTATTCTGTTTTAGTGAATGATCAATGCACTATTTTCATTTTTAGTGAATGATCAGTGCACTATTCTCATTTTTAGTGAATGATCAGTGCACTATTTTCATTTTTAGTGAATGATCAGTGCACTATCCTCATTTTTAGTGAATGATCAGTGCACTATTTTCATGTTTAGTGAATGATCAGTGCACTATCCTCATTTTTAGTGAATGATCAGTGCACTATTCTCATTTTTATTGAACGATAAGTGCACTATTCTCACTTTTAGTGAATGATCAGTGCACTATTCTCATTTAAGTGAATGATCAGTGCACTATCCTCACTTTTAGTGAATGATCAGTGCACTATTCTCATTTAAGTGAATGATCAGTGCACTATCCTCACTTTTAGTGAATGATCAGTGCACTATTCTCATTTAAGTGAATGATCAGTGCACTATTCTCATTTAAGTGAATGATCAGTGCACTATTCTCATTTAAGTGAATGATCAGTGCACTATTCTCATTTTTAGTGAATGATCAGTGCACTATTCTCATTTAAGTGAATGATCAGTGCACTATCCTCACTTTTAGTGAATGATCAGTGCACTATTCTCATTTAAGTGAATGATCAGTGCACTATTCTCATTTAAGTGAATGATCAGTGCACTATCCTCACTTTTAGTGAATGATCAGTGCACTATTTTCATTTTCAGTGAATGATCAGTGCACTATTCTCATTTTCAGTTAATGATCAGTGCACTGTCCTCATTTTCAGTGAATGATCAGTGCTCTATTCTCATTTTTAGTGAATGATCAGTGCACTATTCTCATTTTCAGTGAATGATCAGTGCACTATTCTCATTTTCGGTGAATGATCAGTGCACTATTCTCATGTTTAGTGAATGATCAGTGCTCTATTCTCATTTTTAGTGAATGATCAGTGCTCTATCCTCACTTTTAGTGAATGATCAGTGCACTATTCTCATTTTCAGTGAATGATCAGTGCACTATTCTCATGTTTAGTGAATGATCAGTGCTCTATTCTCATGTTTAGTGAATGATCAGTGCTCTATTCTCATTTTTAGTGAATGATCAGTGCTCTATCCTCACTTTTAGTGAATGATCAGTGCACTATTCTCATTTAAGTGAATGATCAGTGCACTATCCTCACTTTTAGTGAATGATCAGTGCACTATTCTCATTTTCAGTGAATGATCAGTGCACTATTCTCATTTTCGGTGAATGATCAGTGCTCTATTCTCATTTTCAGTGAATGATCAGTGCACTATTCTCATTTTTAGTGAATGATCAGTGCTCTATTCTCATTTTCGGTGAATGATCAGTGCACTATTCTCATGTTTAGTGAATGATCAGTGCACTATTCTCATTTTCGGTGAATGATCAGTGCACTATTCTCATTTTCGGTGAATGATCAGTGCTCTATTCTCATGTTTAGTGAATGATCAGTGCTCTATTCTCATGTTTAGTGAATGATCAGTGCACTATTCTCATTTTCGGTGAATGATCAGTGCACTATTCTCATTTTCAGTGAATGATCAGTGCACTATTCTCATTTTCGGTGAATGATCAGTGCTCTATTCTCATTTTTAGTGAATGATCAGTGCTCTATTCTCATGTTTAGTGAATGATCAGTGCTCTATTCTCATGTTTAGTGAATGATCAGTGCACTATCCTCATTTTAATGAATAATCACAGCTGCTTTAGGCCAGTTAACTTGCTATGCATCTCCAGTTTACGCACTAAACGCCTCTGGCCTTAAGGCTGACCACATTACTGCTGCTGAACAAATGATGTGGCGGAATGAACCCCAGTCATATCTCACCTTATCTCCCGCTTTCTTTCTGCTTCTCTTCTTCGGTTCCTCGGGCTTCCCTGCCTTGCCGGGCTCTAGCACGATGTCCTCGGCCGTCCCCCTCTGTTCCCTTGCTGCTCCAGGCCTGTGGAGCCCCAGCAGCAGCAGCGAGAGAATCAGCCCCAGTCCAACCGACAGAAGCAGCACTCCGACCGGCCACAAGGCCAGCGGCGCCGCGGCCTCCAGCCCCAGCATTTCTGCCAGAGAAAACACCATCTGCTCGGCCCTGTCCGCCCAGCTCTGCGCCATCTCGGTCCGAGCGGTGAGGAATTAGACCACAGTCTCAAAACATGGCAGTAATAATCGAAAACTGGATCATTTTTGGCAAAAATGAGTCATAAAGCTGCTGCTCTGGTTGCTGCAGTTGACGGAGCGCTGCTGCTGCTGAATCGTCACTGTGCTGCGCAGCGCCGCCTGCTGTTCACATTCATAATGACATAATAAATAGGAGTACAGAGCAGGATAAAACCGTTATTTTAAAGGGGAACTCCACCGATTTTTCCAAAATTCTGCATAATTAAGTGGCTACGATGCAAACAGAGTCGTTCAGAGCTGTTTGGCGTAAAACGCTCCGTTCTAGAGAAACTTACAGAGTCAGAACTGTTCACAGTGGTGGTGATAGGAACCAGATGTCCAAGCTCCCTCACAGAAAGTTGCTACATGAAATGGTTATGAATTCACTGCCTGATGACTGAGACACTGTTTTATGATAGTTTAGTGATAATGTGTAGGGTTAAAATGTATTTTAATATATTTTGATTCATTGATGATGGTACATGAAGGGTGTTGTGAGGCAAAATAGTCCCCAAAGAAAACTTATTATTTCAGATTTTCCACTATTTTCCATCATCAACATCCCATATAAACTCAGCAGACATGTGTAGGTTCACTGGTGGTTTTGGACAGTAAATAAAATGTCTATGTCACTTTGAATGACTCTGTTTACATCTCAAACACTGAATTATGCAGAAAAATATATTTGGTGGAATTCCCCTTTAATGGAATAGTTACTCAGGTAGAAGTACAAATAACTTTTAAAAGTATCAGAGCCCGAAAATGTCTGTATAAAACTGCAGTGGAACGTCATAAGGAGGTTTGTATACGTTCCTGTTCTTCTCATTTTGGATGCTTTTTGTCTAAAATAAACAAAGTAAAGCTCCAAAGCGAGAAGTGATCAACGGTAAAGAAGAACAGGAGCTGAACCAGCAGCACAGAATGAAGTTAAACCCCACAAAGAGAATTAGGAGCTCAGTGTGAAGGACTAACAAGGAACGGAGGAAACGTACAGGTTTTCTTCACACATGCTTAAGTGCAAGTAAAAGTATCATCTGAAAATACTTACAAAAGTACAAATGAACTGAAATACATGAAAGTGAAACAATGGAAGTGTCTCTGATGATGTACCACTTTATAGAGCATTATTTATTATTCAGTGTATTTTTTTCTTTGTTCAGTTTTTCCTCACATAAAAATAAGGATTATTTCTTTAATGTAGGCGTTCAGTTTCTTTAACATCATCTTTTATTTATTTATGTATTTATTATCAGTGGTGGACAGTAATAAAGTAAATGTAATTCGTTTCTGTACTTAAGTATTTTTTGTGTATCTGTACTTTACTGAAGTTTTTCCATTTTGGGTGACTTTTTACTTTCACTCCACTACATTTCACAGTCAAATATCTCACTTTTTACTCCACCACATTATGAGAAATCTGTCGTTCCTTTTGGTTTATGTGTGTATAAAAACGTAACGTCAAAATAAAAGAGGCGCAAAGCAAGAACACCAATCAGGCACAGGGGTCACTTTGTTTTGAGCCTGTTTTGAGCCTGTTTTGACCTGTTGGTCATACCGACCCAGTGCAGCACACGGTTCAACATCAGTGCAGCAGAGTAAAATTTTGGGAGTGTCTGTTCAACATAAATGATGGACTAACCTAACTTTGTGTAAACAGACCACAATACAGAAATATGTACACATATGCAGTTGTGACTGGCATCGAATTTATACAAACACTTTCATTTTATAGTAAATTAGTTTTGGCTAGTTTATGTTTATGAACAGAGACCTACAGATGCAGTTTAGTAAAGGAAACTCATTTGTGAATCTGAGTTTAAAGTTTTTATTAAACTTAAACTTGCAAATAAATCTTAAACTGAAACTTTGCTTGTTTGTAAAAAGTGATTTCAGAGCCACTCAGTTCTACCTGATGGAAACTGTTCGCCTTCAGTGTTTTGTGTTTATGATAATTTTAATAGACATCAGCGTCACTAATTAATGACCTTCTATTAAAAGACTGGTTTACCAAGAGAGACACTGGAGTATTTTCACCTAAAATGAGTTAATGAAGCGAGTCTTGTTACATAAATGATAACAGGACATTAAAGCCATAATTAATCTTTTAGTACTGTCACGTTTGATACTTAGGTACATTTGAAGGCAAATACTTTTGTACTTTTACTCAAGTGGAGGTCTAAAGGGAGGAACTTCTACTTTTACTGGAGTAATATTGTACCTTGGGTGTCTCTACTTTAACTCAAGTACATATACTCAATATTTATACTCATTTTTTTGTCTTTATCAGTGACTCAACAGCAGGCCTCGTGCTGTTCGCGGTTCTGGCCGGCAGGAGGCGCCGAAGCGCTTCACGGCGACAACAAAACCCGCGAAGAAGAAGAGCGCGGTCGTTAAGTGCTGAACAACAGCGGCGCAGTTCGGAGCTTCACAGCGCGAAAAACACGAATTTAAACATCTTTTTTATGTAGAAATACAGATTTAACACTGCTGGGGGTTTATAAAACCAGAAGACAGCTGTATCCGGTGATGTTCAGGTACGTTACGCGGCCCGCAGCGCTGTTTTGGAGAGTATTAGCCGCTGTGTTTGTGGTAAAGCTGATGTGCTGGAGGGCTGAGCGATACTGATGATGAATATCACGATATTTTCCAGATATATCTCGGTAACCCGATATCACATCTATAAGTTAGTGTTAATGAAGTGAATGAGTGTCTTAAATGCTGCTGCTCTGTTCTAAAACAGTGCTTACAAACCTGACACAGCTACAGCGGCCCCCCCAAAAGTGTTTGGGCGCTTTGACCATTGTTGGACTGTAGTGAAGTTCATTAAGATAAGTCATAAACTGCTGACCGTTTGTTTATGAGGAAAACACCTGTAGCAGAACATCCAGCTGATGGTTGTGGAGCCCGTAAAGTGAGCTGGTTATTAGTCTTCAATTAATAGTTTTCAAACTTAACTTGTGGCTCCAAAACAGTCATTAGCGGGCTCAGTGTGTTCATTTGCAGCCTCAGTATGTTCATTTGTTTGCTCAGTATATTCGTTTGCGGGCTCAGTGCAGTAATTTGAGGTCTCAGTATATTAATTGAGGTCTGAATGTAGTAATTTATGGCCATCCCTTATTACAAAATCATCACCATGTCACTTTAGGGGCTCTGTAGACGGTGGACTCTTAGTGTAGAGGTGAAAACTCTGGGGCTGTGTTTTCTTACAGTAGTTTTCTCAGCTTGTTTTCATGGATGGATCATGAACTGAAGTGTACAGAGGCAGATAAACTGCTCAAGCCATAATGATATGAAACCCATAAGTGGTGGATTGACGTTTTGTTTCCTTACCTGACGAGTATTAAGTACGGCACATATGTCCAAATACTTTTGGGGGCCACTGTAGCTTGTTTTGGTTGGACTGCTGCTTTTTTTGCAAAGCGCCAGGGAACCTAAATCTGTTTTCTGTCTGAGTAGATAGATAAATAGATAGATAGGTTCAGCTTTATTGCCAGCATTTAGTACAAGTACAAGGTAACTACCAGAAAAACACAGCAGTTTAAAACACTAAAAACTGGCTAGTTTTAAAACTTTAACAACTTATAATAAAACAAGTTTGTTGTGTATCAGTACGCTGAGAGACGAAATATCATTCAGTATGATTTCAATGTTAGATAATTTAGTCAATATACACAATATACACCGATCAGGCATAACATTCTGACCACCTCCTTGTTTCTACGCTCATCGTCCATTTTATCAGCTCCACTTACTATATAGGTGCACTTTGTAGTTCTACAGTTACAGACTGTAGTCCATCTGTTTCTCTGATACTTTGTTAGCCCCCTTTTACCCTGTTCTTCAGTGGTCAGGACCCCCATGGACCCTCACAGAGCAGGTACTATTTGGGTGGTGGATCATTCTCAGCACTGCAGTAACACTGACGTGGTGGTGGTGTGTTAGTGTGTGTTGTGCTGGTCTGAGTGGATCAGACACAGCAGTGCTGCTGGAGTTTTTAAACACTGTCCACTCACTGTCCACTCTATTAGACACTCCTACCTTGTCAGTCCACCTTGTAGATGTAAAGTCAGAGACGATAGCTCATCTGCTGCTGCACAGTTTGTGTTGGTCATCCTCTAGTCCTTCATCAGTGGTCACAGGACGCTGCCCACAGGACGCTGCCCACAGGACGCTGCCCACAGGACGCTGCCCACAGGACGCTGCCCACAGGACGCTGTTGGCTGGATAATTTTGGTTGGTGGACTATTCTCAGTCCAGCAGTGACACTGAGGTGTTTAAAAACTCCAGCTGCTGTGTCTGATCCACTCAGACCAGTGCAACACACACTAACACACCACCACCATGTCAGTGTTACTGCAGTGCTGAGAATGATCCACCACCCAAATAGTACCTGCTCCGTGAGGGTCCCTGGGGGTCCTGACCACTGAAGAACAGGGGGCAGAGAAACAGATGGACTACAGTCTGTAACTGTAGAACTACAAAGTGCACCTATATAGTAAGTGGAGCTGATAAAATGGACAATGAGCGTAGAAACAAGGCGGTGCTCATAACGTTATGCCTGATCGGTGTATATGTGGCTGTGTTAATCAGTCTGGCTGTTGGAGTTTTTGGTACCAGCCTCTGATGAAAATGGTACATTATGTCTGGCATTATCAGTTAAATATGCTGAACTGTAAAAGGAAAGACGTTTTAGCTTTTAATCCACATTATTTCATATCAGAAATTCAAATAAGTAAAAAGCAACAGTTGTAAGTGCTAATAAAAACAAGTTTGACATGTATTCAATTCTGACATGTTAAAATTGAACTGTTTGTCCATCTTTAGTCAGAATTCATGCATTTTCCACACCCATTTGAACGAAAAGAGCATTTTAAAATGTATTATTTCAATGTTCAAAAGTAAAACTTAAATTTTGACCAATTATTACACATTCAGATTTCTTTCTTTCTAGTGAAAATTGAACTGTTATATTTCGCTGCTGTTGGAAGAAAACCTCGTCTCCAAAATGGTAACTTTACAGGAGAAGGAAAAAACCTACTTTACTGTTAATGTAAGTCAATGGAACCAGAATTTTTTCCAGGTCATTTTGGGTCGTTTCTTTTGGTCCATTCATCATGAAATTTACACACAATGTAAAGAACAACAGGCATTTTCAAATTATGTCAATAACTGAGATATGAGGTTTTCTTCTGACACCAGCGATATAAAGGATTACATCCAATGTGTCTTGGGCAGTTTTGCATTGCCCACTTCAGTGTGACGTGGTTCACACGGCAGTTCCTCCTGTTCGCCAGCGTATGTTCGGTGTCCTGTTCCTTCAGACTGATTAACCTGTTCTTTCCACACGCAGCTGAGGCTGGAATGACCACGTCACAGAGACCTCAGAGCTCCAGGCCTAAAGGTAAAGGTCATTCAGTGCTGGGTCATTCGCTGTAGCTGTTACTGCAGTGCAACGGAGAGTCTTACTTACTGTGTTATTCTTCTTTGTGTTGTAGCTGGACACTCGGATATGGAGTTCCAGACCCCGGCTGTGTCGGAGAAGTTCCAGAGCCGCTTTGGCTGGAGGCCCAACAGAGCTGATAGTGCGGACACCGGGCTGGGCACCACGACCTCTGACAGCGCAGAAGGTGAGAATATTCTAGGCTGCAAAATATTGAGACGGTAATGAATATTGTGAATGAACTCTTGGTGATACAGAGAGTGATTCGGTCGTGAACCAGACCTGAGAATGACATATCACTGCTGTCGGGACAAAACCTCGCATCTCCAAATGGTAACTTTACAGGAGAAGGAAAAAACATGCTTCACTTTTAATGTAAGTCAATGGAACCAGACTTGTTTCTCAAGTAATTTTGGGCCGTTTCTTTTGTTCCATTCATCATGAAATTTACACACAATACTAAGGACAACATGCATTATCAAATTATGTCAAAAACTGAAAAACGTTAAAAATGGAGATTCGAGTTTTTCTTCCAACAGCAGCGATATACTGAAATCTCTCCTGTGTTGTCATATTGTGAGGCTTGTGTTGTGTTTTATGACATTTTTGCCAACGCCCAGCCACACTGCAAGTGCTAGTAGTGGCAGATACGGTGTAAAAAGTCCTGAAGGTGGCAGTTCAACTGCTCTCATAACATGGAATGTTAGAATCAATCAGTTCTGTTATAATCTACCAATAATTTTATTCTAATCAGTAATGGACCATAGATAGTATAGCTGTGCCTTCAGTTTACGAATGCGCGTTCTGACTAATGTTGATGTTCTAGTATCCCCAAGAGTTAATGAACAGATATTGGTTCATCGTAGTGAAGAAAAGACGAAAAGAAATGGGGGGAAAAAAGGAACTTCGGCTGAGATGAATGAAGAGTCGGTGCCGGTACTCCTTTAGGTGACAGCTCTGGTGTTAAGAGCCTAAAAAAACAGTAGCACAGGTAGCCTAGTTAGCATTAAAGCAGCACCACACCTGTCTCCTCAGTCACGTCCTTATCAGCGCGTCCTTGCAAAAATGCGCTCGTATGAGTTTCATAGTGTAACGTACACATTTACTCCCTAAGCTGAACAGACTAAACTAAACGTTTTACGGTCCTGTAAAAACATAAAATCAGCCGTTTCACTGAATTGTTTGTCTGAACGTTTTCTCTATATATTCACATTTTTCTGTGAAACGCAACTGATACCCACATAGTGATTTCAGATTTTGAATACTGGCACCTCGAACAGTAAACAGAGTACTCGAGTACCTGCGCACATCCGTACCTCAGTTCAGGAGAGAGACGTGCAAACCTGGTCAGAAAACGAGAAAAAATGCTCAGGACTGCAGCAGTGCTGATGAAAACTGGTGCTAGTGACCTTCTTTTCCATTCATACTGCAGTTTTCTGAAATGTATACATTCTGTTTTTTCTCAAAATAGAATTGTCTTTGTAATGTGAACTTTCAGATGCTAAAATCCAAAAAATGTCTGTCAATCGATGTATTTGGTATGTCTTTAAAATGATGAGTTGAGCCATTTTCCTAGAGAAATCGCAGTTGAGTCGTATCCCTAAGGCTTGAGAGTTACAGAATTCAATGGAGGTCCATTGTTGGCGAGGGAGTACCGTTATTGGCGAGGAGGTGGTCCGGTGTTGGCAAGGGAGGTCCATTGTTGGCGAGGGAGGGCCTTTGTTGGCGAAGGAGGGCCAGTGTTGGCGAAGGAGGGCCAGTGTTGGCGAAGGAGGGCCAGTGTTGGCGAAGGAGGGCCAGTGTTGGCGAGGAAGTGCCACGTTGGTGAGGAGGTGGTCCAGTGTTGGCGAGGGAGGTCCAGTGCTGGTGAGGAGATGGTCCATTGTTGGTGAGGGACTGTGTTGTTGGTGAGGAGGTCCAGTGTTGGTGTTGGTGAGGGAGCCCATTGTTTGTGAGGACCTCTGGTGTTGGTGAGGGAGCCCATTGTTGGTGAAGAGAGGACAGTGTTGGTAAGGGGCTATCATGTTGGTGAGGAGGAGCCCATTGTTGGTGAGGGAGCCTGTGGTTGGTGAGGGAACTCGGTGTTGGTGAACAGGGGACAGTGATATCCTGCTGGTTTCTGTTTGGAGGCTGAGGCTGCTGGTATTTTTAGCTGTAGCGATGAGGTCATCACGGGCCTCCTTGGAGAGCTGGAAGAGTGCGTTATATTATAGTCCACTCCCAGAATTCCCAGCAGCTGTGTTTGGCCTGCGCTGGGGATCCTCGTTAGGAGGGCATGAACTGGAAGGCTGAACGGAAAGAGTGAAGCGCTTCCTCCTCCCTGCGCTGGAACACGGATAGATCAGCTGAGCTGCACTCAGAGTGCACTGCAGACGTTTGATCTGAACAGAGATCTACGCTGCATGTAACGATTGCACTGAATTTATGATCTAAGTATTATAAATATATATGCATCACAACATCTTAAATGACTGCAATTGTTTTGGTACAGTTCAGAATTATTGTCAGAGTACACTGAATGGGTAAATGTAACTGTGAGCACAGTAGTGGTTTCAGTGTTTCATGTACTAAATGATGTAATTTATCACAATAAATAGCACAACACCCAACACGTCACAGTTATAGAATATATACAATAAGAACAAAACCCCCGGCTTTTTATTTTTATATTTTCAAAAATGTAATGTGAGTATTCATTCGTTATGTTATTATTCATTTCTCTATTTAGTTTTTGGGAGCTTTGTCTGTTTTTAGCCTGTTAGGCTGACTTTACACGGTGAAACTTTCATGCAAGTAGGTGCATGTTGTAAATTGCCTACAACATCATTTCTGTGTAACTTGGAAATTACATGAAGCAGTACAAAAACTGTTGTGATCACATTTCCTGCTTTCTTTTGTTTACATTTATTTACCCGAACCCAACATTCACTTTCTGTTTGTTGCAGCATTATATGACTTAAATCGTACAACTGCAGTCAACTGTAGTAACTGCGATCATCTCTATAAGTGCATTATGTAGTAACTGTGACAGGCCTTAGTCCAGCCCCAGCGTTATATAATTTTCTTAAAGGGGAATTCCACCATTTTTTCAAAATTTCTGCATAATTCAATGTTTGAGATGTAATCAGAGAGATTCAGAGTGGTTTGGTGTGAAATGGTTCAGATCTCTTTACAGTGGTGGTGATAGGAACCAGGGGTCGCCATGACTACAACACAAATATAGACATTTTATTTACTATCCAGAACAGTCATAATTTCAACACACTAGTTAGCCACATTAGCAGTGTGTATTTTTGATGCACCAAACCCACACAGATGGAATTGGAGGCTTATTTATTGCTGTTTTGAGCAAAACACTGTTTTATAACACAGAAATGGCAGTAACTCAACAAATGATGTGATGTCTGGCTGTAAAAATACATCGTATCCAGATAACAAGGACTGGGCAGTATGACAATATTCACTGTTATTATGATAAATTTTATCACAAAAAGCTTTGTGTGAGAATATGATGGATTCTTCAGTACTTAAAAAATAATTTCCACTTGCATGTTTGATTACAAATAAAGCCTAGTTAGTCCTGATTGACTGGTTTTAGTGCAGTGTTTTGATGGTATAGTTTAAATGTGGCCCTGCTGTATCTGTTCCAGCTTACCAGATGTTGGAAAACATCATCATGAAAATTGTGACATTACATTTTTTGACAATTATGGCCATAAATCTGAGAATGTTATACATACAGTGAATGCATACATTATTTAATACTATTATAATCAATTATAAAACACCAGCATCCAGAACTGATGTTGAATCATCACCTTCAGAGGCGTTTCTACACTGATATCCTGTCTAAATGGCTGAGCTCTGGTGTTATTCTCATAAAGATGTGGGTGCCAAGCAACCCGAGCGTTGCAAACCTTCCTGAGCTGCAAGCTTCAGTTTGTTTGGCTGTAAAAGTGCAGCTGGTTCAGTTAAACTCCTCCGCGGCGCTGACGGACGGAGGGCTGTTTCCAGGTGGGACGCGGGTTCTGTTAGGAGTGCTGAGGGTCTGGCACAGTCGTGATGGGAGTTATCTCGGCTGGGGTGCGTGTTGTGAAGGAGGGGAACTGTTTAGACTTGTCCAGAGTTCAGGCTGAAAATGAGAGAGTACTTAAAGAACGTTCCCCGAGGCAGAACACAGCGGAACGCTTCTGTCTGCTAACAGGCACAGCATAGAAATCAGATTTATGGTTTACCTCTGTGCTCCAAATGTAGTTAATCAGCCGAGACACGTTTGCCTATAAAACACTCTGCTCCAGTTAAGGCTGTAAGGATCATATAAATTTAGCTGTTGATTAATTGTCATATAAATAACTGATTTCAATTGTGTTCTCTGGTTTATTGTATGCGGCTATTAAAACACAAGCCTAAATTGCTGGATTATTGCCAGCTGTGTTGGGTGTAGCTAATGCTTACTGTACTGTCGAATTAATACTGTCACACAGAATCATGTGTGGAGTCCAGCAGAGCTACATGTTCTTCACCAGAGTGAAAACAGAAGCTGAAAAACACTGATTCTGCCAGCATTTGTGCTCCAAACATTCGGATTAGCTGCATCACTAACAAATAAACAGACACTGCTCAGAGCTGCTCTCTAAACATGCTGGAGTTAAGAGTCAAAATAAGTGTTTTTGTTTTTATAAGCCCCCCTGCAAATACATGTACTGCTTTGTTTTCAGTCCAGCCCTAGTGTTATATAGTATTCAAAGGGGAATTCCACCAATTTTTCAAAATTTTTGGATAATTTAGGCCTTGAGATGTAAACAAGTGATTCAGAGTGATTTGGTGTGAAATGGTTCATTTTAGACATTCGTTTCAGATTCAGCGCTGAGGGCTGCGGCGTTATTGTTTCAGAATTTGGGCGCCGTGAGAACCTGCGGCAGTAATAAGAGCACAAGCTGTTAAACTGGGACACACAGAGATAAAATGAAAGCATGTTAAACACATTTAAGAAACACTCCTTCAAAATACATTCCAACTGCTTCCACAGAAGACTCTTGAAGGATCAACATGCTTCTGGCCTTTGTTAGCCATTAAAGGAGAATTCCACCCATTTTTCAAAATTTCTGCATAACTGAGTGTGTGAGATGTAATCAGAGTGATTCAGAGTGGTTCAGATGTCTTTACAGTGGTGGTGATAGGAACCAGGGGTCGCCATGACTACAACACAAATATAGACATTTTATTTACTATCCAGAACCACCAGTGAACCTACACGAGTCTTCTGAGTTTATATGGAATGTTGATGATGGAAAATAGTGGAAAATCTGAAATAATAAATTTTCTTCAGGGACTATTTTGCCTCAAAACTCCTCTCTCTGCCATGAATTAAATCTGTATTCTATATATGGTTCTATATAGAACCATTTTCCTTACTAAAGAACGTTTACACCACCATCTTTTTAAGTGTGTACAGTGTGGCTGTGAGGAGATCTTTTCCAGTGTGTTTAGATTAGCAGTTCAGTTGACGTGTGTCGATAATGAAGTTGGGTTTAAATCCGACTCGGGCGGCGCGTCTCTCTGTAATATGAAACCGCTCTATAAATACTCATAACCTTTCTGCGTGAGCGCTCTAACAGAGCCCTGGGAAACAGAACTGACGCTCCAGTCTCACCTTGTCTGGGCTTGATATTACGGTTTGGAAGGACGCGGTAGGGTTTGACGTGGAAATGCAGCGGGAGAAGAGAGAAATCAGAGCTCAGTGTCTTACAGCTCGCTGGCCTGTGGATGGAAATGCTGCCTTCTGTTGTTTTTGCTGGTTCTGTTTGTGCCGGTCACTTTAAGGTGAGTTTGGTGACTCAGTATGGATCATTTGACATGTAGAAGAACCTCGACAATCTTTTTACAGAGTGGGGAAATCATTAGATTAACATGGTATTTAAAAGGACTATCTTGTAATTTTATTAGTGATGTTCTTTTTTATTATTATACTGGTTTCGCATCTGTTGCTTGTTCACAGCTTGTTCCTGGCTCTGTTTGTCAGAATTGCACATTAGAAAGATTAAATTCAAGCCACTACACTCTTAAAGATGGTTCTTCAAGGGTTCCTTAGTGAAGACAGTTGTTCTATATAGAACCATGAACTCTTAATGAACCCTTTGCATGCTTTAATGGTTCTTGCATGGTGAAATGGCTCTTCAGATTGATGGAGAATGTGTTATATGGTTCTGTATAGAACCTTTTTGAAAAGGGTTCTATATAGCACCAAACAGGGTTCTGCTGTAGTTACCGGTTTGACACAATAACAATAGCAGAACCCTTTTTGGTGCTATGTAGAGCCATATACAGTACATTCTCCATCAGTCTGAAGAGCTTTTTCACTATGCAAAGAAACATTAAAGCATGCAAAGGGTTCTTTAAGAGTTCATGGTTCTATATAGAACAACTGTCTTCACTAAGGAACCCTTGAAGAACCATCTTTAAGAGTGTAGTAGCTTGAATTTAATCTTTCTAACGTGCAATTTTGACAAACAGAACCAGGAACAAGCAACAGATGCAAATTTGCAGTGCGAACAAAGGGAGTCCATTAACATAGTTTGACCCCCAGTTCCAGTGAGTGGTCATGAGGACCTCAACCTGAGCGATAAAACAGTGTTGATATTTATTAAAAGCAAATATGTTTTCTGTGTTATTAATGCACATTTGACATCATTTTTCTGCCCTGTTCTTCACTCCATTATTAACAGCCAAAGGGTTAACTTTAAGCAGCTGCTATGTTCGTACATTAGGGGGCGCTGTGTGTCCTTCTCTATTTTGTACATTCTATACATTCTGGTTAGTTTTTGTTTCACATTGCAGTTCAGTGAGTTCACTAAAGAGCTCTGCGTGGCACACCTGCATCCTGCCGTCATCACCTGCATGGGCTGCGTCTCCCTGAACTGGACACTGATTGGTTTGTAGATGAACGCCTGATAGCGGCGTGTGGTCAGTCTGGCAGGCGGCCTTTTCCGTCTGAATGGAGATAAATGAATATCCCCTCTCTCTCAATCTCTCAGAGAAAGTTTTTTATGCGTTTTTTTGTTTTTTGTTTTTTTTTTCAAGTTGATTTTTGACTTTTTCATTGGGCCAAATTACAGTTAAATATTCAGTCTCCTCCCTGTGAGCTACCACGGCTCATTTTTACCTCCCTCCTGGTTTTTTCTTCTCCTGTTGTTTAATTGATGATATCCTGCCTCAACTTCTTGTAATTGGTCCTAAAGTCCAAACAATCCAGAGAATGCTGCAGACAAACCAAACCATGGTTCAGTTTGACCCCTACCAAAGGTCCGGACCAAACAAGGTTGGCATGAAAGCACCCTTAATTTCCAGACTGGGAGGACAAGAAGTCTAGCCATTCTCTAACAACAGAGCAGTCGAGTGGGATGGTTGGCAGAGCTGCTAGCATCAGCTGTTTTCAGAGAGGAAATTAAGGACAGTGGGGGGAAAAAACTGTTTATTACACCACAATAAGACGTTTTTCCCAAAATGTTGCTCAACAATGCTAATGATGCTAAGCCACCAATTAGCATCATGCAAATAATGTTATGCTATCTCATAGCGCATGCAGCCTAATAATCTGTTAATAATCCAAATAATGGCTCAATCGGAATACAATACGTCCATGTAAACACCTCAGTCAGAATAGTCTAGTCTGATTGAGGTAATTCGGAATACATTTTATGTCCGATTGATCGAGCTGGGTAATCCTGTAAATAATCTGATAAATAGAAGAATAATATCCGTGTAAACGCCTGTATCTGATTACATTCCCTATCAGAAAGTTTAAGTCCGTTCCGATCATGTTCGTCACGTCATAGTGAGAGTTTATACCGTTCAACATGGCGGAGCAGAAACTGGTCTGCAGAGGAGACGAAGTTTCTGCTCTGATCTTTAAAAGACGGCGGTGGGACGGACGTCCAGCTTATGTGTCTCAGAACACGACGTCTTCCTCTCGGCCTTCTTTAATGAGGACGTGTGAAGGACGTTTTCCTGAGTCTGACATCATTTTAAAGCAACTCTGACTGGACTCACGTGATGCTGGTTGTCATGGTAACGTCTACACTAAGTGGTTCTCTATGTATGCGCATAATACATAGAGATCTGATTGCTTGTAGTGAGCCTGTAAACGGAGATTTTCATCAGATTGTTGAGTAGAGCGAGAATAAACACCTCAGTCTTGATCTATAATTGGAATGTGTTCAATCAGATTGGAGAAAATCTTTGCGTGTGAACACAGACAGTGATGGTAACTTTAAAAATATATGACACATTCGCATTGTGGGCTGTAAAACAGGAGTGAATACAATAAGATGTACAAAGTTATGAATAAAATAAATAGATTTAGAGAGAAGGCTATACAGTGCAGTTAATTAATTAAATGACTAATTACAGACCAAATAAACTCTCCTTCTGAGGCAATCCAGACATAAAGTGTCTAAACCTCCTCCAAGGCTACGTTCACATTATCAGGTTAGAGTGGCACAAATCCGATTTTGCCCTAGTGTGATCTGATGTTTTCAGAGCTGTGTGGACACAAATCTGATCTTTTCAAATCCGACCGAGCCACTTTCAAATGTGGTCCTAGATCAGATACGTATCTGATTCGTGGCCATGCGACCTTAATGTGACGCTCAGATCGGAATTCATGCGAAGTTAAAGCCTGTAAACGGTGGAAAAGCAGCTCATCTCACCTTTTTCTCCTTCGTCTCGCTCTAATAATGAAGCTGAGAGCTGATCAGAGTTAATGATCTTCTCAGCGAAGCTCGTTCTGCTCGTTAGTTTGTGCTGATGATGAACGTGATTCGTTCACGTGACGTTACTGAGTAGGATGAGCTCATGAGGGTCATTTCAGGACGCCGGTTCGTCACATTAATGACAGATTTGGGACACTTACCTAAACGAGTGTGAACCATCCTGTCAGAGAGATCGGATTTGAGCAAAATATCGGATTTGAGAAATGAGGCTTGTAATGTGAACGTAGCTTAAGAGGGTAAAAACTGGGTGGAAGTGATCTTTGATGTTCAAGGCCTTTTGTTAGAGGTGAGTCTTGTAAATCAAAGGTAATGATGGTAGAGGATGACCTGAAATGTTAGATGCGATCTTTATTTATCACCGTCTCCAACTGATTCTACTCCACACGTTACACTGCTGTACCACGTTGTGATGGAGAAGGTGGGCACACAGTCTCCGTTCATTCACAGCCACTTTGTCATAATCGGGCATACAGTTCATTTAAAATTGAGATTTAGGAAATAAGTGTAATAATTATCAAAATCACATCATGTGGAAGCATAAATTCTAATAAGCCTCTACTCTGAGTTCACACTCTCACCCCCTCTCTCCTTCTCTCTCTCTGGTAGAGTTGTGCAGCTCCAGCAGCAGTCCGTCTTTCCAGCCAATCCGGAGTCAGATTCCCATCCCCACGGCTCATGTCATGCCGTCCACGGCCGGAGTCCCGGCCGCCTCGGCCCGCTCCAGCTCGTCCAGCTCCAAATCCTCCCTGTCCAAATCCGCATCGTCCCCCAACCTGGAGGCGCAGGGTGGGGTCACGGCAGAGGGGGGTGGAGTTAAACAGGACTGCCTGAGCCGCTACCGCAGCCTCGTCAACGGACTCGATCACTCGCTCTTCCCCATGGCCGATCACACACGGCTGGACGAGGAGCACCACTTCGAGACCCCCGCCATGGAGCCCACTCTGAACCAGTCCAGCCTGCTTGGAGGTATGGCTACAAATTGTGGACCAAATGACTTATTATAATATCGCAGTTAATTACGCGTAGCTACAATATAGACACGTTTATGCAGCTGTAATCTGACCAGTAGACAGATGTTTACGCAGTCATCACCTGAACTGTGAATACACGTTTACACAATTATAATCTGAACAGTAAAAAAAATTATTGTGCGGTCATCACCTGAACCATAAATACGTGTTTACACAGCTGTAATCTGAATAGTAGACAGATGTTTACGTAGTCGTCATCCGATCTGTAAACGTGTTTATACAGCTGTAATCTGAACAGTAGACAGATGTTTACGTAGTCGTCATCCGATCTGTAAACGTGTTTATACAGCTGTAATCTGAACAGTAGACAGATGTTAATAGTCGTCATCCGAACTGTAAACGTGTTTATACAGCTGTAATCTGAACAGTAAAAAAATGATCATGCAGTCATCATCTGAACTGTGAACAGATGTTTATAGAGTCATAATCTGACATTTACACAAATATTCACGTATCTTTTGAACTGTGAACACGTGTGTACGCAGCTGTAATCTGACCAGTTGACAGATGTTTACGCAGTCATCACCTCAATTGTAAACGTGTGTATGGAGTCATAATCAAACCACTGGACAGATGTTTACATAGTCATCATCTGAACTGTAAACATGTGTTTACACAATGATAATCTGAACAGTAACAAAAATTATGCGGTCATCATCTGAACTGTAAACAAACGTTTACGCAGCTATAATCTGAACATGAACAGATGTTTACACAGTCGTCATCGGAACTGTGAACACGTGTTTATGGAGCCATAACATGATCAGAACACAGATGTTTACAGCTCAGATGATGCCTTTGTAAACACATGTTTATGCAGCTGTAATCTGACCAGTAGACAGATGTTTACGCAGTCATCGTCTGAACTGTTAATGTGTTTGCACAACTATAATCTGAACAGTAAAAAAAAAATGATTGTCATCCCCTGAACTGTAAACACGTTTGCGCAGCTCTAACCTGAACAGTGGACAGATGGTTACATAGTCATCTGAACTGTAAACATGTTTGTGCGGCTCTAATCTGAACAGTGGACAGATGGTTACATAGTCATCTGAACTGTAAACATGTTTGTGCGGCTCTAATCTGAACAGTGGACAGATGTTTACATAGTCATCTGAACTGTAAACATGTTTACAGAACTATAAACAGTAAAAAAAAAGTTATGTGGTCATCACCTGGACTGTAAACACGTGTTTATGGAGTCATAATCTGAACAGTAGCCAGATGTTTATGCAGTTATCGCCTGAACTGTAAACACGTGTTTACGCAGCTGTAATCTGATCAGTAGACAGATGTTTACGCAGTCATAATCTCAACTGTAAAAATTTGTTTACACAACTATAATATGAACCGTAAAAAAAGTGACCAGTAACCTGAACTGTAAACAAATATTATGCAGCTATAATTTGAACATGAACAAATGTTTACGAAGTCATTATCTGAACTGTAAACACGTGTTTATGTAACTATATTCTGAACAGTAGACAGATGTTTACGCAGCTCTAATCTAAACCGTAAACAGCAGTAATGCTGGAGATAATTTCATATTTGTTTAAAAGGTGGTTGATTTTTGGTGTTTTAAAGACGTGCAGGGGGTTCAGTACAGTATGATCAGTGTAGCGCCTGTGGTGAGTTGATCTCAGAATACATTCAGTAATGCGCTGAAAGCCATGATGAATCTGATTATCGATATGATAATAGGACATTTTCATGCTGTCTGGAAGTCTGCATGTGTTGGATCCTGTGATATTGCAAAGGCCAGTATCAGGATAATGATTAATGACCGATATGTTGGTCAGGTCTGCTGGGAGGATACAGCCCAGACGTGCGGATGCAGCTGCACATGACCGGCCTCGGGGACGGCGCTGAATGTCGGACTGATGGATACTCCGGCGTTTTAGAACAGACTTTTAAGATTCTTCCTGAAGCCAGAACGGGAATCCCCTGCTCTTCGGACCCCTGCGGTAAAAGGAGCGTCCCCCCGGTCCCTGTAGATCCGTCAGGCTGGCAGCAGCACAAACAGAAACTGGAGAGTCTTCGTCTGCAGGTGGAGCAGATGCAGGTGAGTAAACGCACTGTAAACACTGACTGCACAAAATTATTAATTGCAGTTGATTATGCCAGTTGTATTTGATTACGTATTACTTTTAAGATGATGTATTTTAGTTTTAGTCAGGTTGTAGCCACATTGCTTTCAGTGCTTTAAGTAAAAAAGCATTTTTGTCCACCAGCTTTTTTCTTATTATTATGTAATTTTTTTTCAGTCTTCTATATGAAAGTAGATTCGATTAATTTCTGATCTCCATAAAGATTAATGAAGACAGCTTTGTCTCCTCTGTGTACTCTTGGAATACATTGGAATCAGCAACAATCATCTCTAATTGTGATTTTCCTGACCAATATTGTGCCTCTGATTTAAATAGTGATTATTTTCTATAAATTAATGTCCAAGTCAAAGTTTATTTATATAGCACTTTTTACAACAGGTGTTGTCACAAAGCAGCTTTACGGAAAAATCTGGGCAAGAGCCCCAATGAGCGTCGCCAATGGCGACAGTGGAAAGGAAAAAGGAGTCAAGAGGAACCAAGACTCAAAAGGGGAACCCATCCTCCTCTGGTCGATACCGGATAGCAAACAATAACACAACAGCAGTATGACCTGTTATTTTGGCCAAGAAGCCCAGAACATCCACTTCTTCTGGCTTGAGGCTTGAACACGTATTGTAGAGCGTATTGTGACAGACTGCCAGTTAGTCGTGGTCGTGATGTCACAGCACATGGGTGTTTGCTTGCTTCTGATTGGTCTAACTCAGTGGTCACCAACCCTCTTTCTGGACAGCTGTTCTCTGCAGATTAGTTCTAACCTGCATCTAATATGCTGCCTCCGTCTCATCTAACACTAACGCATCTGATCCAGCCAACCAGGCACTGCTGAAGATGTTAATTGGCTGGCGCAGGTGTGGCCAGGTGTGGTTGGAAATGGACTCTGCAGGAAGGTAGATCATTGAGACCTTTGGATCATGTACGGCTTCTCCAAAGCATCCATTCTATTGATCAGTGCTTTTCAATGGAAATTGTACAAGCTGTGTCAGCACTGATTGTCCTTAAACTGTCTGAACTAACTCATTAGACGGAACGTCTGGATTGTTTTGGGCATCCAGTTTGGGAATAAATGGGTTAGATCTTTTAATCAGCGCTCATTTTTAATTTAATAGCATTTCTAACTTTGCCCTCCTTTGCAGTTAATGACCGGCGGGAGCGGTCAGTACCCCTCTCTGTACCCATCAGCTCTACAGGCTGAGAGTAAATGGGAGGCCGTGGTGAAGGCAAACGAGAATCTGCTTAAGGAGAAGGAGCTCATCATCGAGAGGTATCCACCAATCAGCTTCAGCTTAATCTCTCTGCTGTGTCCTGAGGGCATTTTGACGTTTAATAGATGAGTTTTAACTTGAGGTTTATTGCTTAGAATATCTTTAAAAAAGTCTTTATTTATTATTATATTTATTATTTATTATTATATTTTATTTTTATTATGTATTATAAGTTCATTTCTACATGATCAGTTTCTAACCGCACTTTATCCCTTACAATTAGACAAGCTGTGTTTGTAACTGTGCCTTTAAAAATGACATATATGTAAATGAGTTCTGCTCTGATTGGCTATGCTTCGTTCCAATAGCAGTCTGTGCTGCAACACTCTTCATAACTCCTTATGACTTTACGACTTCATGAAAACTGTGAAGCATTTTATTGTATTGTCTGCTGTGTAAATAGTTCTTCTAGGTACATTTGAATATTCAGTTTTTGTTTTTAACAATAATTCAGAATCTTTCTAAAATAATCAAATTAATTGTTTCTTAAAGAGTCATTATTGAATCAAGGCCACTTATTCCCTAACGGGGCTTTTACACACACAAACATTGTCCATTTTATCAGCTCCACTTACTATATAGGTGCACTTTGTAGTTCTACAGTTACAGACTGTAGTCCATCTGTTTCTCTGCATACTTTGTTAGCCCCCTTTTACCCTGTTCTTCAGTGGTCAGGACCCCCATGGACCCTCACAGAGCAAGTACTATTTGGGTGGTGGATCATTCTCAGCACTGCAGTAACACTGACGTGTGTTGTGCTGGTCTGTGTGGATCAGACACAGCAGTGCTGCTGGAGTTTTTAAACACTGTGTCCACTCACTGTCCACTCTATTAGACACTCCTACCTTGTCAGTCCACCTTGTAGATGTAAAGTCAGAGACGATAGCTCATCTGCTGCTGCACAGTTTGTGTTGGTCATCCTCTAGTCCTTCATCAGTGGTCACAGGACGCTGCCCACAGGACACTGTTGGCTGGATATTTTTGGTTGGTGGACTATTCTCAGTCCAGCAGTGACACCGAGGTGTTTAAAAAGTCCAGCAGCACTGCTGTGTCTGATCCACTTAGACCAGCGCAACACACACTAACACACCACCACCACATCAGAACAATATGAATGCAGTGATTTATTTCAACATTTCAGTCTGTGCTACACTAAATCCAGTTAAACAGGACTAATTATGTTCTGTTTGCAGTGTAACATGAAGTTCAGTGTTCTTTAATTACCGCCCACATCCATGCTTTACTCAGAAGAGGTTATTGTAACATAATTTGTCACGATTATGATAAAAATCGCCATTTTACACACCTCTATTCTTTTGTGTCTTAAGTTTTTAAAATCTACTTTTACTTTGCAAAATTAGGAAAACCTGTATTCCACATTTTAATTGGCTGCTGATATGAATTCCATATTGAAATATCACAGTTTCTGCAGTATTAATATTAATCATAACCCTGTTGTTGTTGTTGTTGTTGTTGTTGTTGTTGTTAACCCTTGTTGTTGTTTACGGTCGTGTTTCAGGCAGAAGCAGCAGCTGTGTCAGCTGGAGCAGCGTCTCAGAGAGAGCGAGGTACAGATTCACTCGGCTCTGATGGGCCGTGGAGCTCCGTTTACCGACATCTGTATGTTACGGCTGCAGGTCAGTGCGCAGTGCTCGCCCGCTCTCTCAGCGCTCGGACACAACAGCCTGTATCACACATTCAGAGAGGTGTTTAAAGGGGAAGTCTATATAGACAAAAATGCACAATAAAACAAGCATGCTGCCAGCATCCCACTAGGGTGTGTCGGTGTGCAACATGACTCATCCAGTTTTTCTGAACACAACGGGTGTTTATTTTATCTGTTTATTTATTTATTTAATTATTTATTTACCTGCAAACACACATTTCCAAAATTTTCCCCAGAGAGGTCATTAATAGGGATGAATTATGTCAGAATCATATCAGTATCTACAGATATTTGCCTAAAATAAATACATATATACACACACACGTAGACGACAGACAGATGTTTAGATTTGACTGATACTTCAGACTAATATTTGATATGTCTGTTATTCTTTGGAAGAGCAGAATGTTTAGGTGATGTTGGGTTATTGTGCTGAATCTTTTCATTTTATTAATTTACTGCATCTGTAACCCTCAGAAAATAAAATACATACATGCATTAAGGTTATATTTCTCAGTAATGCTGACGCAGGTAGATTTAGTCCCAATTTTAACTCATTATAAATGTGAGATTTGTATTAGGTGTCAGTGTTGGTGTCGCCATTGGCAGTTATGAACATGAAAAAATCCAGATATCTGCGTCGGCCCACGGTTCCCATATTGGAGCATACCTGTTAATTATGTAATTGCGTTTCAAAGCTATAAATATTTTTTGACAAGAGAAGAGAAAAAAATTAAAGTTTGGTTTAAGTCAATCAACCAACCTTTATTTGGTCTCGGATGTACATTGAGGGTGACCCTCATTTACAGTATAGCCGAGTAAATTACACAGGGATTAAAAAAGTTGAAATTTACCAGCTAAAGCAAATGAAATCATCAGACAAGAAGATTTATATATTAAAAAAAATCAAATTAAATAAACAAAATAGTAAAATTCATAATAAAAACGCATTAAAATGAAGTAAAAGAGTCGACCTTGATAGTAAGCGGTAAGAAAACAAAAATTTTAGAAAAACCTAATTTACTAAAAAAGAATAGTAAAAGAATTAACATAAAATAAAACAGATTGCAACTTGAAATAAAATGTTGTTGTTGTTGTTGTTGTTGTTAATATTATTATTATTAATAATAATAATAATAGTAATAATACATAAAAAGAAGAAAGGAAAAGTCAAACCCAACTAAAACAGTTCCAGGCTGTCTGAAGGTGGTTAGAGGCTAAAAGTGACACCAGAGAGTGAGTTTTAGAGACTCCAGTAGTGAATTCCTGCTCACTGGTGTTCAGATTTTCCCAGTTCAGTAAAAACTCAGGTGATCCAGTCACTGAGCAGGTCTAATAATTACTGTTATTCAGAGATATTACAGATGAAATATAAGCCGGTATATGGCAGCGGACATTTTCAATTATGTTAAAAACAAAAAAAGTGATTCAAGGTTTTGTACCAACAGTGATGTAAATATTTATGTAATGTAAACAAATATGAAGCAAAATGACAATAAAAACTGAGGGTTAAACCTCGTCTCAGAGTGAACTGCAGTGCCAATCACTGCAGTCCTTTATGTCTTTAAGTAGTCGGTGTGGAGAGTTGGGGATGTTCCTAACGGTGCTGTATGTGTTTGTGCAGGAGGCTCAGCGGGAGAACGCTTTTCTGCGCTCTCAGTTTGCGGAGTGCAGCGACTCGCTGGCTCAGGAGAAGGTGGAGGCGGAGCGGCGTTTGGCTGCCGTGGAAACAGAAACCCACCGACTGAGCGAAGTGCTGAAGGAGAGCAAGGAGAAGCACACAGAGGAGCTGAAGAAGCAGGAGGAGAGGGTGAGGAACAGTTAGAGGAACGTGCCTCAGAGCACCAATCAGGGGGATGTTTAGCTCCTGGTCTCCAAACCTGGTCTTGGAGAGCTGCCTTCATGCAGAGTTTAGCTCCAAGCTGGCTTGGCTATGTCTACATAAATACCACCAAGAAAAGATGAAAATCCATGAAAATTTCACCCTTTTATTTTCAACCAAAATTTGCGTCATGAGGGATCGAACTAGCGATCTCCTGATGATGCGGCCAGCGCTTAGACGGTTGTGCTACTCGGGAGCACGGCTTTCTGTGTTAGTCAGAGGTTTGGGTACTCAGGCTGTGCGCGTTGTTACGACCCGTAACAGAAAATGAGAGTGGGCTCTCTCCCCAGACCAGCCGGCAGACCAGACACTGGACACCATTCAAAACTGAAAACTGCTGGTTTATTTAGACTTTGCTAAAAATAGGCAAGTTTGCTAAAGGCCAAGCTGAATGGGGACTAAAGACTTCAGGGAGAAGCATATGCCGAAACAATAAAAACAAAACTAATGATTTCAAACCCTAACTAAACTACAAACAAAAGAAACAAAAAGACGTATGGCTACCCACACTCCCTCCCTTACACGGGAGAAAAGGTAAGAAAACAACGTGGCGCCGCCCCCTACTTTCCCCAAGCTCACAAAGTCTAATCAAGCAGTCACAATTTTAACAACAGCAGCAAAGCGAAGCAGACTGAAGTGAAGAGTGCCAAGCTGGTCTGGACACGCTGTTCCAGGTCACATCAGAGGGAAGAGAGCCCTGCACCCTTTATACAGGAGTGTGCCCCATGTGCCCAGTCACGGACCTGCATTTAATACAACAAGAGGGGAAAACACACAAAATGACCACAGACAGACACAGAAAAGTTACTGAAACGAGGGGTCATAACAGTGTGCACACCGTGCATTAGTACTTACTAGAGTAATAATTGCTTTATATCTATTGTATGATTTTGTTATCTTTCATGTGATGTCCACCGATCAGGCGTAACATTAAGACCACCTCCTTGTTTCTACGCTCATTGTCCATTTTATCAGCTCCACTTACTATATAGGTGCACTTTGTAGTTCTACAGTTACAGACTGTAGTCCATCTGTTTCTCTGATACTTTGTTAGCCCCCTTTTACCCTGTTCTTCAGTGGTCAGGACCCCCATGGACCCTCACAGAGCAGGTACTATTTGGGTGGTGGATCATTCTCAGCACTGCAGTAACACTGACGTGGTGGTGGTGTGTTAGTGTGTATTGCGCTGGTCTGAGTGGATCAGACACAGCAGTGCTGCTGGAGTTTTAAACACTGTGTCCACTCACTGTCCACTCAAATAGACACTCCTACCTTGTCAGTCCACCTTGTAGATGTAAAGTCAGAGGCGATAGCTCATCTGCTGCTGCACAGTTTGTGTTGGTCATCCTCTAGTCCTTCATCAGTGGTCACAGGACGCTGCCCACAGGACGCTGTTGGCTGGATATTTTTGGTTGGTGGACAAGGAGGTGGTCATAATGTTACTCCTGATCAGTGTGTGCCACAGTTGTCACAAGGTGGGGAAAAAAGTGAATCAAAAACTGGCTCTGATTGGCCAGAAGTTCAGCCTGATTTATTTGAGTGCTTTTTAAGAACAAAGTTAAACGGCCCTGAAGCAGATTAGGTATGCAAGTTGCCATGGTGATGTATCTCGATTAAAAAGTGATCTTCATGAGATGATCCACTATTAGTTTGAGTTTATGTTACTGCGTATGTAGATCCTCCAGTCATGTTTCTGTTTTGTTTCATTTCTGTTTTATCTGGTGGGGAAGAGTTAATTTTAATTTCTTTATTTTATCTCAGTGCTGTGCTAAACAGTGTTTGCGCTCTTCTGTTGTTAAAGATCCGAAATCGAGACAAGCACATCAACAGCCTGAAGAAGAAGTGTCAGAAGGAGTGCGAGCAGAACCGTGAGAAACAGCAGCGCATCGAGACCCTCGAGCGATACCTGGCTGACCTGCCCACCATGGAGGACTACCAGAGCCAGAGGAAGCAGGTAGAACCAGCCGCGTTCACGGCCTGAATTTTGCCTTCACGACACAGATTTACTACTGTGTTACATTCAGATTGTGATAAGCCTTATAGTACATTCAGAATGCATTGATGGATTGTAATTGATACCTCGTAAGGCTACAATATGCAAATGAGCCCTTTAACCAGTTTTATTTGTGCCTTATAATTGAAAGCATGGAGGATTTGCTGTCTTGTTTGGTAAACATATTGTGGAACCACTTCACAACAACACTACCTGTTTAAAAATGGTTTAAAATTAGGTTATTTATGGTTATTAATTTGGTCATAAACACAGTAACAATCAGTAGAGCCCATAAATTAAAAGCTTTGTACTTGCCAAATAGTGAGCCCACATTCATTTATACTGTTAAAGCTCAGATCTTGCTGGTTACTGGTCTGGCTTTATCTTCTCCATCAGTCAGCATTAAACCTGTCAGCTTCATCAGATGTTCATGTTTATCATATAGAACAGCTCACTGCTGGACTTTAGTTACATTTAGAGCATCATATATCAATTATTTATTATCGCTCACCCCTAATTCTTCAGTGATATGAAGCTAAAGTCAGATATTCGCCAGCTTCTTGTTCAGATTTTCCCATTCCACCTTAAATGGTGCAGCAGTTCAGACACCTCAGGCGCCAGAGTGTAACTCCTGGACTATTTAAGGTGGAACAGGAAATTTAGCTACCAAGACATCAGCACACTACATAAATATAATACTAATATTGATAATAAGATGGTTATCGTAATTTTTAACAGAGAAAATTCTCACATTTGTGGGTTTCTTTGGTCTCTTGTTCTCCGTCTCGCCGGTGTTTCTTTTTTTCTCATAACTCTCTGTTTGGTGTCTCTGAAAAACCTCCATTTGGAGGGTCATGTAGCTCTAACACTTCACCCTCCCCCTCTGTCTTACCAAGAATCAGGACACCCCACCCCTAGACATGAATGCACCAAACTGGGCGATGTGGCTAAGTGGTAGGGGCGAGGGGTGAAGTGGGATTGGGCCTGAGTGTGTTCTGTAAGTTTGAAGTGAACTGCTGTGAAATAACGTTCAGACTTTTCCTGTATTTGTGTTTGTGTGTATGTATATTAGCTGGAAGCTGCGGAGCAGAAGGTGGGTGAGCTGCAGGCTGCAGTGTTGGAGCTGCAGACCCAGCTGGAGGAGAGCCGGTCAGCCAGTCGCAGCAAAGACAGCCAGCTGGAGGAGCAGAGACGCAGAGAGAGAGAGCTGCTCAACACCGTCACCAGGTACAGCGCACACACCTGCTTACCCACCTGTACGATTCAATAGAGGGGGGGGTCTTAGAGGAGACGTATTGGATTCACCAGTCACTGGCTTTCGCTTTGAATTGAATTGTTTACATTTGATACACTATATGGCGAGGACTTCCCCTTTCATTTCTCAGGCAAAAACGGATTCAGTTCATTTAAGTCAGAGGAATGGAAAAATCATGGAAAAAAAGAAAATGTCCTTTTTTTCACAGAGATATTAGCTGATTAAAATGTGGCCACATGACACTCAGTCTAGCAATTGTGAGATATTGTGGAGGGGCGGATCTCTCTCAGTGACAATATTGTTGCAGCACCTCCTCTGCTGCTCTGCATGCCCTTCATTTTTCATGCATCTATGTTTTACCTTTATAATATGAGTCATTTTTGTACCAGAAAAAGTCATATTTCATTTCTGCGTGATCATTTTTCAGCCTCTCTTTATCCCTTTATCCCCTATTAAACACGCTGTTTTTGATACTATGTCTTTAAGACTAATATATGTACGTGAGCTCTGTTCTGATTGGCTGCCTGTGTTGTGCCTCATTCAATAAGTAGTCCAGGCTGAAATGCTCCATATGACTTCAGTGTGAACAGGCAGAGCTAGACTGCTGTAGGCTGAATAGACGGCTTTATGTAAATTATTCATGACATCACAAAAACACTTGATTTAAAATGGGCTGTTTTTAATAGAGTTTAGTTTGCCTAAATGGACTGTATGGACTGAAATGTGAACGGTATGCTCAGTGACAACATACTGTGCTAAACTCCTGCAAAAAAAATTCCTTTTTTTATTATATAGGTCCTTTTTAATAGAATCTCCATTCTCCACACTGCACAGAGCTCTGACACTAGACGCTCTTGAATCCAGGCTTAAAACACTCCTATTTGTGCAGCTTTCAGCTCAGTTTAAAACGCGGTTAGCTTTTTTAGCCCTTCTTCTCTGTAACAGCACTTTATCCTAATTTATTTTTATTTTTTAATTAGATTTTTAAATTATATCCTAATGTCCTTTTTTGATTTTTAATGACATTTTTTCTCCTTTGAAATCTGTTGTTTTTTAATCGTGTTTATTTTTGCATTCTTTTTGCGTTTGTTACTTGTTTCTGTTCATCTTTAATTCACTTTTTTAAATAACTCTTTATTTTCCCTCATTTGTAAAGCACTGACAGCAGTGAATGAAAGGTGCTGTATTAGTAAACTTGCCTTGTCATAGTTTTGCATTGCAATCACGATGTCACGATCCATTGTACAGCAGTATGTTTATAGGACAGAGAAGTACAGTATGTGTGTTATGTAGTCTCCAGGCTAGAGTGCAGGAGAGCCTGGAAGATGGCGCGAGGTTACCGTCTCTGGACATCGAGAAGCTCCGAGAGGAGAATGTGGCCCTGAAGGAGGAGCAGCAGAAACTCAAAAAGGTGTGTTTACGTAGTGGCGGGGCAATATGGCAAATATAGACCAATAAGCAACATGCATCACTATATCTAGATTTTCTGAAGTTTGCATTGGAGCAGAGAAGAACCCGTAGTTCTGCTAAATCCAGTTAAACAGGACTAATGATGCTCTCTTTGTAATCAAACGTCCTGTTGGTCAGAGTTCTTTAGGTACTGACCATGTCTACCAAATTCTCAGAAAAAGCATATTGTGATGTCATTTATCACAATTACAATAAATATTCATATTGCATACCTGTATTTTATATGCATGACCCGTTTAAAATATTCTGCATATTTCAGAGTGGTTTGGTGTGAAATGGTTCAGATGTCTTTACAGTGGTGGTGATGGGAACCAGGGGTCGCCATGACTACAACACAAATATAGACATTTTATTTACTATCCAGAACCACCAGTGAACCTACACGAGTCTTCTGAGTTTATATGGAATGTTGATGATGGAAAATAGTGATAAATCTGAAATAATCAGTTTTCTTTGGGGACTATTTTTTCTTCCCAGCACCCTACATGTTGTACCCCCCACCATCTGCCACCATGAATGGGTTTAAAAAATGTGTTTTAGTCTAAAACCTTCAGGCAGTGAATTCATAACCATTTCATGTAGGAACTTTCTGTGAGGGAGCTTTTAGAGGTGGACGTCTGGTTCCTATCACCACCACTGTGAACAGTTCTGACTCAGTAAGTTTCTCTAGAACAGAGCGTTTCACACCAAACCACTCTGAACGACTCTTAACTGCTTAATTATGCAGAAAATTTTGAAAAATTGGAGGAGTTCCCCTAAAATCATACATCGTCTCTGAATTTTTGCATTGTTAAGTCGTCAAATGAAATTTCTTGTTTCAGGTTATTGAGAAGCAGTTGAGGATGATGGAACAGCTGGGCTCACAGATCAGGGTACGCACCTCACCCCGAACATGCTAGCATTGCTAACACATGAATGATACTGAGGGTCAGTTGAGCCTTCTGGTGATGTTAAGAGGATCTTCACTGTTCTTGTTTATTAGCATTAGGTCTCGTTTGCTGGCTGCTGACGTGGCAGACATGCAGCAGACTGTATATGTGTGTGAGTATCTGATCCTCTCTGAAATGTCTCTCTGTCGTTTGTGTGTGTTGGTTTATTCAGAACATGCAGCAGCACCTGAGTGAGGAGGAGAGCAGCGGTCAGGCTCTGAGAGACGAGCTGGACGCTAAAGAGAAGGAGCTGCTGCAGTTACACTCCGCAGTGAAGGAGGTCAGTTATACAGACTCTTATTTCTACTATAAATTTGGTAACTGCTATGAATTATTCAGTGTCTACTATAAATTATTCAGTGTCTAATTTAAATTATGCGGTAACTGCTATGAATTATTCAGTGTCTACTATAAATTATTCAGTGTCTAATTTAAATTATGCGGTAACTGCTATGAATTTTTCAGTACTCACTATGAATTATTTAGTATCTACTATTAATTATTCAGTGTCTACTGTAAATTATTCAGCACCCACTATGAATTATTCAGTACCGCTATGAATTATTCAGTACCTACTATGAATTATTCGGTAACTGCTATTATTAATTATTGGAAATTAACCTTTAAAGTTTTAATTTATTTCTGTAGTTTTATTTAATTATTGTACCTATTATTTTAATAAGTGTTTGTGATTTTAAGGCAGAGTTATTGTTATTTTTTTTTTTTCCATTTCTGTAAATTGTTTCCAGGCTAGTCAACAGAATATCATAGTATTGTGTTGTGATGTGTTTGGATGACCCTTCATTGAGTGTGTTTGGATGTGTGCAGGTTTTTAAACGCGTGTGAACGTAAACGGGTGTGTTGTTGTGTTTCAGCTCTCTGTACAGAATCAGGATCTGATGGAGCAGACTGTGACTCTGCGGGAGCGGCTGCAGGCCACTGCAGGGTCCGGTGATGGATGTGTCCGATGGGAGGCCGACTGCGGCCTGCAGCCAGCGGGGGTCCAGCTCACCCAGCAGCTCTATGGAGAGATGGAGGCCTGTCTGAGTGACCTCCGCTCCCTCTGCAGCGTCCTCACCCACACCGCACAGGGCAAAGACCCCAACCTGTCCATGCTGCTGGGCATCAGCTGTGAGTACAAATACACACACCTCCTGTAGAGTATTACAGTCTGTCAGAGTGACTGTGTGGATCATATGAACATTATAGAGGCTTTTTAAATGAAACAGTAGAAGCCATATCGCCCCCTACACTTCCTGTAGTGTATTACAGTCTGTCAGAGTGACTGTGTGGATCATATGAACATTATAGAGGCTTTTTAAATGAAACAGTAGAAGCCATATCGCCCCCTACACTTCCTGTAGTGTATTACATTCTGTCAGAGTGACTGTGGATCATTATAGAGTGCTTTTGTTTCTAAAAGGTCTCATATAATAAGCTGTTTTTGCCCTGTGCAGCTCATTCACTGCTAACGTTTACATGGTAGTTGGAGGGATGCTTGTTCTTTGTTGTCATGGTAACTTAGCACTGGCAGTAACAGTTTACTATGCAGGGCTGTGGCAGGTTTGTGTGTGTAGTCATGGTAATGAAGGTGTGTGTGTGGATGGTAACTGTAACTGTAGAGAGTGTGGTGAGTGGATCAGACACAGCAGTGCTGCTGATAAAATGGACAATGAGTGTAGAAACAAGGAGGTGGTCATAATGTTATGCCTGATCAGTGTTCATCATCTAGAAGATGAAGAATAATTAAATCCTTCATTTCGTCAAGCACGTATTTGCGTCTCGCGGCGACGCTGCTCGTTTATTTCCAGTACTGCCGTCTGTTCTCGCACATGCTCAGACTGAGAAATCCGAAAGAATTCAGAGTAAGGGTTCACATGCACTGAGAAATCTGATTACCGAGCTAAAATCCAGCCTCTTTATCAGATTTCTTGATCAGATTTATAGACCTCACTCTGATCTAAGAAAGCAGAGTGTGCTGTTTACATTACCGTTTGAATAATCAGATAACTGCAGAAATCTGATTATGATCGGATTATTTAGTTCATGTAGACCCACTCATTGATTCCAAACCATTCAAAAAAATTGGTGTCACATTATTGAAAGTATTGGAAATCAGCTCCTGTTCTGTTCCGGCTGAAACGTATTGCTTGTTCTCTCCTACAGCGCCGCCTGCAGTGTCGGAGCAGAGCGAGGACTGGCTCAGCCCTGCAGTTCTGCAGAGGAAACTGCAGGAGGCGCTGCAGCTCCGCCGAGACGTGGAGGCACTGAGGACCACCGTCTCTGACCGCTACGCCCAGGACATGGGCGACAACTGCACCACCCAGTGACCCTCAACCAGAGGAACCAGAGGAACCACCAGAGCATGTTCAGTCCATGGTTGTTCCTCTGAACGGACCTTTAAGGCTCCACAGCTTTGTGCCTTCATTCAGAACCACCAGGAACGCAGAGCAGGTTCAGTCCACGCTGTTTCCTCTCGAAGGGCTAGCAGTGCTAACACTGAGGCTAACGCTAACGACACTACATTGGCTTATTTTTATATAAAGGTCGTAATATCGCTATTTTTCTAACTTCTCCATCCGACTGACGTTTGTTTTCGTGGTGCTGTGTTGCTGTTTAACGTGATCATTCCCGTGTGTTGGGGAGCGAATGTGATGTGGTTGACAATCAACTGAAAATAATTTCTAATCCTTCTTTGTTTAGCTTTTCGTGATGCGAGGAACGTTAGCTTTACGTCTTTTGCCCGTCATCTCAGATTAACATGAGCTGGAGGGCGAACACTACCTGCCGTTATCTCACCTGCGCTGAGGAGAAACGTGGTTGTGCCTTTTGTGCTAAACCAACACGCATTAAAGTCCACAGACACGCCTGCACCTTTAATATCAGCTAGAACAACTTCATTAACGACGCGTGGCGTCAAATAAAGTAACTTTTTTTGTTTTTAATCAGAACATTCCATCATATTTAACATACATAGACATCGAATGTGTGATTTTAAACCTTCATAATTACAGAGCTCTAAGGTGACATGGTTTTTTTTAATAAGGCGTGGCCACAAATTATTATATTGAGACCACAAATTACTATATTGAGGCCACAGGTTCATCTACTGAGGCCACAATTTACTGTATTGAGGCCAGGAGTTACTATATTGAGGCCACAAAATAAGATATTGTGGCCGCAAATTACTATATTGAGGCCAAAATTACTGTATTGAGGCCAAAGTTAGTACATTAAGGCCACTAGGGATTATATTGAGGCCACAAGTTCATCTACTGAGGCCACAGTTTACTGTATTGAGGCCAGGAGTTATTATATTGAGGCTACAAATTAATATATTGTGGCCAAAGTTTACTATATTGAGGCCACAATTTACTGTATTGAGGCCACGAGGTATTATATTGAGGCTGCAGTTTACTATATTGAGGCCATAAAGTATTATATTGAGGCCACAAGGTAATACATTGAGGCCACAAATTATGAGACACTTATCTCTTGGCCTCAATATATTAATTTGTGGCCATGCCTTATTAAAAAAATAACCACCCTGTCACCTCAGGGGCTCCGTACACAACAACATGACTCATTATTCTCTATGTTCTAAACTTCTGGTATTAAATAACACAACGCTGACTAAAGTAAAGCAAAAAATCTAATATGAGCTGTTTCCCCACTGACCTCAAACGTGGTCAGTCAGCTCAGACATGTTTGGTGTCTGAACCTTCTTTAGTTTAAAGGCTAATGTAGCTAATGAGTAATATAAGCCTACGACAGCTGGTTCACATATAGCAAGTTCATTAGAGATTATTGACCACTCTACACCGTTTGAGGCCAGCATGTGATGATTCAGGCCTGCAGTTAGCACCATGCTAACCTAGTGAGCTATAAGCGTCTGTCACTTAGGCCTCATAGCAAAAGACGCAAACTTCAGAGGCCAAACATGTCCTGACTGATCAGCTACATTTGAGATCTTCTGATTTCTAGAGGGAAACAGCTGCTGACAGATGTTCATTTACTTTTTGAAAACGTTTTTGCACAAAGATGTGGTCATGTTACATTTCATGTTAGAGCGCTTCGGTGTCTATTTGTAGATGTCTTCTTTATCTGGTAGCAGATGTTTTCCATTAAAAATGAAACCCTTAATAGTTCAACCCAGAAATGCTAACAGAGACTGGAGCTCATTGTGATCAGCACTAACGGCTTTCATTCACTGTTAGCGACATTAGCATTCATGGCAAGAGTGCTAGTGAGACTGCTAGCATTTTATTAGCATTGACTGGAAAAAAAAACAGCACTACTGAATTAAAACCAGGCGCTTTATGCCATTTCATATCTGAAGATATAGTTTTACATCATAGTTTATCTGAAATTGTGCCTTTTCTCTGTGTAGTTAGCATGGATGGTTTTAGTGTGTCAGAAAAAGCAATATTAGCTCGTTTCATGCAGCGACTCTTTCTCATAGAGCCTTTTTTGAACAGTGAGTCTTCCGTATAGTTTTCATGTGTATTAAGCTGCTCCTGCTGCATATTTAAATGAAATGAAAGGGGATTGGATTGTACTGTGGAGGATAATGATGTGATGATGCGCCATGTTTGGTCCAGAGAAACATTTCTGGACCAATTGAACATGAGAGGAGCTCAACGTTGTAATATTTCGTTAAACATAACCAGCCAAGGAAGCCTAATCGCAACACTAAATATGTTTATATATGTATGTTGTTTCCATGCCTTTTAGAAATAAAGACTTTTTGTGAACTTATGACTTTTAAAGACTGTAGAAGTGCTTATAGTTTCTGAATTTTCTCAGGCTTATAAAGTGACTGACTGTTCTTGGGTGTTCTTTTGTTCCCCCGTTACAAAAGAATAACACTCATGTGTCTACATTTCAGGTGATGTTATGAGATCCTGCAGTGCTTTGGTTTAGAAACCCTGAGAACCCAGGCAGCTTTATTAGTACTGAGAACCAAAATGCCTCCCACTGTATACTAAACAGTAATTCTCACTGCTTTTGAATATACAGAACTCTTTCATTTCCAGTCAAAACAACCAACAAGTACAAGTTATTGCTTTTTCAGGAGATGTTGATGAGGAGATTATGCTTGCATGAAGTCATGAACAGGACTAAAAGCTACAGAGAAAATGAGGCTCCTAACAACCACCTGGAAGAGCTGGTAGCCCCCAAAACTGCCCCCATCAGATAAACAGCACTTAAAGCTTTCATCTCTGACAGAGAGGAGAAAATCAAGCTGATCAGATCTGAAAACATCCACAGGTGTTTCTGTTCATCCTTCCACTGTGAGAAGACGACTCAGCGCTGTGGGTCTGAAAGGATGTGTAGCTGATCAAGAAGAACCTCACTGAGAAAAGGAGACGGACACATCAAACAAAGAAGCTGAACGATGGACTGACCACCCCAGAGTCCAGACCTCAACACCACTGAATGTGTTTGATTCCTTCAGAAAATCATCAACCAGCTTCTAAGACTGAACTTTGGAGGTGTGTCTGCAGATTCTTTGAGGAGCTGAAAGTGAGTCTCCTGAAAAGAATGGAAGCTGGAATAAAGGAGAAGAGTGACTCACTGAACACTGAACACCTGAGAGTAGATTTAGCTGTTCAGGCTTAAAGCTGATGTTAAATGTTTTCTGATTTTATCCCAGATACTGATAACTGAGTAACTGAATGAAGGGTGGTCAGACTTTTGTATAGTACAGTCTTTAAAAAGATGGTTCTTCAAGGGTTCTTTAGTAAAGAAAACAGTTCTATATAGAACCATGAACACTCAAAGAATCATCTGCATGATTAAACGATTCTTTGCATCGTGAAGTGGTTCTTCAGACCGACGGAGAATGTGCTGTAGATGGTTCTGTATAGAACCCTATTTGCTGAGAGTGTATGTAATATGTTTACAAGGTACTGAAGTTGAGGAGTCTCAAAAAATCCACCATGCACACTCAGAGTAAGTCTGATTTCTAGAGTTTAGCCCAGTCCCAGATGATGATATCAACCATGTGCAGACCTGTAAGGTAAGAGACCTCGAGGGTGCTTGGTTCAAATGTGCATTTGGGACAGACCCGTGCAACATGGGGGCTCTACATGTATCTGTTGTTACTCTTTTAATGGCATATGAGAAACAGGACACCCTACAGCTTGCAGGACCGCAAGTGCACCATTCAGGACTGGGCTTCTGGTAGTGATGGACACTACTGTCCCACAGTGCAGTGTGAAGCAGAACAGGAGCTACTCACGTCTGGGAAATATTGAAAACATGGCAGATGGTGAGTTGAGCTGTGTTGCAGCTGTATTTGTAAATGTATTATACAAGCAGCAGCCTTTTCAGAATGACTCTAGTGATCAAAACCCAGTTTATCAAAGCCGTATTGACCTCCTAATGCTGATAATAAGAAACAATCGGTTCTAGACAAGTTTTCTTCTAAAAGCTCCAACAGTTCAGAAAAGTGAATCTGCACCTGCCAATGACAACCTCCCTGCACAGTGAGACGAAGGGAGCTCAGAGCAGTGCTGAGAGCTCAAACGTTAAAGGGGAATGTGAAAATTTCATTATAGAGACTAGGAACCAGGGGTCGCCATGACTACAACACAGATATAGCCACTTTATTTACTATCCAAAACCACCAGTGAACCCACACGAGTCTTCTGAGTTTATATGGAATGTTGATGATGGAAAAAAGTGGAAAATCTGGAATAATACGTTTTCTTTGGGGACTATTTTGCCTCACAGCGCCCTGCATGTATCCCTCCACCATGAATGGAGTTTAAGTTCTCTAAACTATCCTAAAACAGTGTCTCAGTCATCAGGCAGTGAATTCATAACCATTTCATGTAGGAACTTTCTGTGAGGGAGCTTTTAGAGGTGGACGTCTGGTTCCTATCACCACCACTGTGAACAGCTCTGACTCAGTAAGTTTCTCTAGAACAGAGAGTTTCACACCAAACCACTCTGAACCGCTCTGAACCACTCTGCTTACATCTTAACCATTTAATTATGCAGAAGTAAAAAAAAAAAATCGTGACATTTCTCCATAAATGATGAAAAAAAAACATTTTATTTTTACATAATAAATTTAATAATTGTATATTATAGTATTAACACTGAATCAGATTCTTAACATGAGCAAAACAGAAAATGAGCTGTGCTTCGTCTTTATGTGGGATTGGTCGATGATGTCTGTGGTGGGCGGGGCCGCAGTAGCAGGGCGGCGTTTGGGGTCAAACCGCAGGCTAGGAGAGTCTGGGTGTCATCGCTATGGCAACGCTGAGGGAATGCACTGATGATGTCATATGGAGGACAGGAGGAGCCTCTGTGATAAACAATAATAAGGATCATAAACTGGACACACTGTTGAGCTGTACTATAAACCGAAAGACAGAACACTGCTCCACCTGTGAGCGTCCAGGTGTTGGCGCAGGTGAGCGATGGTGTCGGAGAAAAGCATTTTCAGGATGAACGTTTTCTCTCCATCCTCAGACTTCACTCGCAGGGTCGTGACCTCGGCCTCTGAGCGGCCAGCTTCGCTGGACTCCAACCTTAAAGCAGACACACCTGTTCAGCGTGACCTGTTCACCTTAAGCTTTAGGAACGTTTTCAGTGGTGTTTAATAGGGGTGTGAAAATGTGCGTCATGCTGTGTGTCTGAAACTGGCTGAACTACATTCTAACTACATTCTAACTACATTCTAACTTTAAAATTATTTAAAAAAATAATTCTGAATACCAGAAATACTGATTTAAATCTAATCCTGGTGAAATTTGAGATTTCATGATTGACTGCTGCATTTCCTAAAAAAAATCAAATTGAGTTGAATCGTAGTGAAGATAGAGATTTTGTAATTCATTGACTCATTTCATGAAGTCAAATTGTTGTGATTTTTTTTTTATTTACTGAATCATTTCCTAAAGAATAAAACTGAGTCAAGTAATTATGATTTCATTTCATTTAAATTTGTGATTTTGTGATTCATTGAATCAACTCCTAAAGACTTATAATTAAGTCAAATCATGGTGAAATTTAAGATTTTGCGAGTCATT